TCTCTGTCTCTATCTGCCTGTCTCTGTCTCTCTGTCTCCCTCTTTCTGCCTGTCTCTGTCTCTCTTACTTGAAGACATGATATTCTCTATGTAGATGAGTGCAACTTTGAACTCACAGAGTTCTGTCTGCTTCTGTTTCCTGAATTCTGGGATTAAATGCTTACACAACCACATCCAGTTTGGATTCTCCTTTTAAAAGAAGTGACGTAGATCTTATTGTGTTTCAATAGACCAACTCCCAGGCTCCTTCCAGTAATGTCTTTGATCCAGCTTCTTCAGGAAACCATGTTTTGTGATTCTGTCATAAGAAGACTAAGAAGATGAGACATTAGTGTCACTTATAGAGAAAGCATTTCTTGGAAATTAGGACCAAGAGTTTTTTTTTTGTTTGTTTTTTTGTTTTTTTTGAGTACAGTTACATGGAGTAGGTGATAGTTGGCAGACTTAGAGAAGAGTTTTTGAAAGTTGGTGGCTGCTAAGGGAAAAGGAGTCGTTTTTTTCTCAGAGACATGGCTCCTGAGACGCTAACCATCTCCAGTAGATGGCTCTATATCCATGCACATATGGGCAGCACTAAGTGGACTCTGGGATTCAATGAAAGAGCAGATGAAGTTGGAAGTGAACAGTGGTGGCGGGGGTGGGTAGGGGAGAAAAAGAGACCAATTTGATCAAAACACATTATATGCATGTATAAAATCCTCAAAAATAAAAATAAATAAAAAACCCTAGCTTCCCAGCCCTTCCTTATCCTTGGGCCTCAAACAAATATCTTCTATGCTTTAGTTTGCTTTTCACAAATGAAGACTTTGACAGACAGATTTCCCTTTCTCTGGTTCAAAGCTCAGTGCAGAACACAGGTGACATGCTTTCAAAGTCTGTCCCACATGCCTTGACTGCAAGGGATGAGTGACTACTTTGTAGATTTATATTGTTTGTTTCTTATAGCTTTTTTAAACAGGGATATATAGGAAGAAAGAGACAAAATATTCATGAGTTTTCTAACTAGAGTCAGTTTGATGTTTTGGAAAATATGAGTTTATACATGGGTATAATGATATATTCTCTGTTCTGTATACATGCTATCCAGAAGTATGGGATAATGTATTCCAAGTCAGCTGACCTTTCCCAAATCTGGCAGCTCTAAGCTTATGTCCATTTTCAGATGCTCTAGTAAATATGCTTATTGCTAAGCACGTGTACATGGCAGAGGGACAAAACAGATTTTTTTTTGCCTTCACTTCAAATTATGTGCTTGTTGCAGAGTCGTGCAGAATTGTCAAAAATTTTACATATACATGTTAAGTTTCTGTGCACATATTGGCAAATTCCTTTTCAGAATATTTGTGCAGTCTATAAAATACTTTATTTGTCTTGTTATATATTCTTTAGTTACATCTTAAATATTTGGAAAACTTCTGACATTGCTGTTTTCATCTATACACACACACACACACATATACAAACATCACATATACTATCTATTATTGTTAGACTAGTTTATGCATATTGTCTCTTTGCATTTTTTACATGTATTATTCTTTAATGATTGATGACCAAATTTCTACTGAGGACGTAAAAATTTTCATTTTTCTATAAATGCTTAGGCTATTCTGTTTTTAAGTCATATTTATGATATATGATATTTGCTTCTCAGCTTTAGTTATTTATAAATTAAATTTATTTTTATACAGTCTGATTATTGATTGATTATTGATTCAAAAGATTTCAGGTTTATTCAGTTGACTAGACTCAAACCATTATAAACAATAATTCATTGATATGGTTCAATTTTAAGAAATTTTTATGCATTAGCCCTTGGGCTTGGCTTCTAGATTTTATCAAACTGCCCTAATTAATAATAACTAATTAAATGTCTCTTTACTTGACTGAGATTTATTTTTGGGAAAGTGTCAGTTACAATAGATAAATCTGCTATGATTAGAGTTCATCAAAATAACTTTTTCAAATATTGAATACACACTTGAATTTTTACTTGAAATTCTTATTTAAAATGTGAAATCAAGTTTAGTAATGCTGGAAGATACAATGTTGGTCAGCATTTACATTGAAAATATCTTACGATGCTTTACGTGGTGTGTCTAGAGTTTAAATAAGCAACAGAATTGAAGGTGGTTGAACTGATTTGGTTAAATGTCAGCCCTCCCATGGGCTGTAGTAGATGATATATTTTAAGATTCACTGTTTGACAAGTTGACACAGGAGTTGACTTGTCATTACTTGTTCTAGCCCTCACTAGTTCACAAGCAGACAGCTAACCTTCCGTTGTGGGATTTCTTTTGACTAGAAGGAAAATTCAGAGTTTGAGATATTCACAGTTAGTGACAGGGCTATGCCGGTCTTAAAGGACCACTGCTACATTTTGGATTTGTTTCATTTCATTGGCTACTAGAGTACTTACCCTTTGGATTTTCAAGGATTTGAAGTCATATTGGCAATGAAATTATGAAGTAAAATCTATTAAAATTAAAATCAAGAAAATGTTATTGCTGTCTTTAGAAAAGAACAGAATTTTAACTAGGAGTATATATGAAAGGGTTTGCTGTTTTTGAAGGCAGTTTACTGCGCTATTTCATATAGACACAAACTCCCAGGTAGGATGCTTTGGATGATGTACAATAAATGGAAAAGTTAAAGCACTGTAGAACTATTGGACCACTTGTCAGAATTCTTCAAAGAGAAAATGGCCAAATCTGTGGGTCCTGGGAGTTGTGGGAGAGTGGAAATGAAAACAAGAGATGAAGACATCAGAAAACAAGAGCCAAGGGTTAATAAAAAGTAATTACAGCAGCTGGAGAATGCTGTAAGAGTGCTGTTGTTGGCTTGGTCTTCCTGGAAAAGCATTGCAAGAAGAGAAAAAGACATAAAATAGGAAAAGCTGGCAGATTTTCTTTTAAAGTCACAGTCAGTGATGTTCAGAAATGTGAAAGATTTCATTCTTCTGCCTGATTCCCCACAGAAGCCCTAAGGTTTCATCAGCTTGTTCTTCTCTTACTGTTGCTGAATCCAAAGTATCCAACTCATACTTAAAAAGCAAGATTGAGGGAGGAGATGGGGGGATCTGTGATTGGTATATAAAATGAATAAAAAAAAAATTCCTTAATAAAAAAAGGAGAATAAAAAACAAATCAAGATTGAGTAGTGTGCCTTTAGAGTAAATATACTTGAGATGCATTGGCATTTAATGCTTTAAATTTTGTACTGAAGATAACATTTGGAGATACATACCAGTAAATGCCAGAGACCAGTCTTGGGCAGAGACCAAAGTGTCTTTTTTGCTTGTCTGTGCAAAGTTTGGTACCTGATCAGTAAGCTGCACAGAAACAGCAAATGGTAAAAGAGAAGGTGGAATGACTATTGATTAAGATGGGAACCTGTGACCCATAGCCTGGAGACACATCAGAGAGCATCTGGGATCCTCACCTGGCTTACATCATTGGCCAGGAGCTATCTGTGTGGCCAAAGATGAGATGTTACAGAGTCATGTAGAAAACACATGCCAAGTCATGAAGACCCTTCTCTTGAGAAAACAAAAGCTTTAAAGACATGACATTTATCCAAAACTGGTGTCATTAGCCTTATCTTGATGAAATAATATTCTGTTGAAGAATATTCTGATAGTAGTGAGGAACAGAGACTTAAGATAGGGTATCAGGAAAAGAATTCTGCCAGGGGTTTTAATGACCTCAAAGAGAGATGGAAAGTTCTGAAGACACACAGAAGAACTGCAGACAAAGTGAATATTTCAGATTACAGGAACCAAAAAAAAAGAAAGAAAAAGAAAAAGAAAGAAAGAAAAAAGAAAAAAAGCATTCTATTTTTGTGGAAGTGATTGGCAGGAGATCTTAAGCTACAATAGTGAATCCTAAATTTCAGAAGAATCACAAGGAGTAGGATAAGTTGAGACTTTGGTTCCTAGAGAAGTTGGTTATCACAAGAGAGAAAACTTTCACATTATTGTTCCATGGTGGAGGTATCCAAAACCAGTGTTTCTTAGCAGCATGCTTGAGGGCATAGTTATGATACCTGTGAGGTGCTCAGCTATCTGCTGAGCTGTGTTGTTATCATCATTTCCCCAACAGTGAAACTGAGAACTCATCTAAGTTATAAAGGAAGTAAGTGATGTAGGTGGGTATTGAGTTTGGTACATCTGTTTGCAACCCCACACCATATTTTGTTTTGATTTCTTGGAGCATTATCTTGCTACATAGTTGCTGCCTGACAGGAACTCCCAATGTACCATTAGCTTATCTTGAACTTGTGGTCCTCCTGCCTTTCCCTCCCCACGCCCCAAGGCTGGGGATACAGACATGTGCCACCAGACCTAGCTCTCCAGTTGCCCTTGATCTTAGCAAGGTGTCTTTTGTGAAGGCCAGTTCTAGCCCAGAGATCTGGAATAGAAGTCATTAATATTGAGGAGGAGATAAAGGCACTACCCTGATGATAGGACTCTGGATCGTCCCTAGAGTCTGTAGAGGTCCTGAGACTACATATAACCAGACTATTCAGAAAGAAGAAGGGGATTGGGGTGGGAATGACTGACTTCAAAGAATGGAAATCTGAAAAGGAAAGGCAAATCATATGTTTGTTTTGCTTTTTCTCCCCTTTTAAAGGCAACTATAAATTAACAACTATAAAACCTTTTTTGTTAGCCAGAAATGGATATTTGGAGGCACTGGTGATGTTTGCCACAGTGGTTTTCATTGAGTTATTTAGTGATCGAATTGGAGAGCCAGGGAGTTGGAAGAGGAAGACTGAACTGGTAGAGCTTCCTCTGTGCTATGTGACCTTAACAGACAAAAGAGGGACTGAGAGACACCTGGTGGGTGGAAGGTAAAATAAAGGATCTTTTTTTGTTTGATTGGTTGGTTTTTTAATGTGTGAGACAAGATCACATTTATGGGAATTTTAGGGTAATCTGTGCTGAAAGTAATTTTAAGTAAAGTAAAATTATAATATGGAGTGCTTTTTAAACTTCACAGAACGCTATACATCCATGGGCATACCAAGTTGGATTTCACAGTCTGGCATACTGCAATTGAAAAAGCAGCAGGTACAGATGGTAACGCATTACAAGATCAGCAGCTCTGCAAAAATGACGTCCCCATTATTGTGAACAGCTGCATAGCATTTGTTACACAGTATGGTACGTATCACAGGATGTTTATTCAACTCCTAGAACTTAGGGTATCATTCTTACAGCTTCTAAGTGGTACCTCCATTGGAACGAATTAGTGCCTTTTCCCTTTGCAAGTACATCAGTGAAAGCAAAAAGCACAGTCGCTGCTCAGCCTCTTCCCACTCCTCCCAGCAACACTCATTGACACTGGGCAATGCTTTCCCACAGCTACCTTAATCCTTATGTCTATGAAAATGCTATGTAACCCATTAAATAAAATAGCATAAAATGTACATAAAAATAGTAAAGACTGTTTTTAGTGGTAAGACTCTGAGAACAAAGCCAAGGGTAACTCACCATGCTTAAGTGGTTTCTAGAAATAATAAAACCATGGAATAATATACAAAATGATGTCCTTTCTGTTAGCAAGCAAAAAATACATGAGCGTTTATTTCATGCATCATGCAATAGTCAGAAGTTTATTTTAAGGGTGATCATTCATTTTACTGATTGGATTATTGACCACAGATACTTTTATGAACAATTAGCGAACAAAAATGATTTCATCTATACCTACTTTGTCAAGACTCATTTTAATTTCTTGTGATGGGGTAGGTTTTCAAAGTTTACCTAGAAAGTAATCTTTATCTTCATGTTTATTTTCAAATTATTTTGGATTCACAAATGACACATACATAATTCTTATGTCTAAAAGATAGAAAGTATGTGCGTATGTATGTATGTATATATGTATATATGTATGTATGTATTCAGATTTTTATTTATGTGGCTTTTGGTTCAAATCCAGGGCCTTGTGCATGCCAGGCTAGTACTCTACTGCTCATAGATCTTGACATGCATTGTGAATATAATGTATTTTTGACCTTTTAACAGATGGATAATGTCATTTATGCAAAAAAAGATATAGAAAAGAATAAAATGATAACATTTCTGAAGCTGTAATAGCTTTTTATCCTCTTAGTATGATAGGTACTTGGGGTGTTTTAACTTGAAAATAAGACATAAGTAGTGAGAAAAACATAGTAAAATATTGTGTTCTTAAGAAGCGTGCAGCCAGAGTGAGCAGTTCTCCTTAGATCTCATATTCTATATATGAAGCTGATGACATGATAGATGACAGTATGTCAGAAATTAGCACTCTGATAAGAAGTTGTTTTCAGAAGTTCAATCTATAATGCTTTATATTTATTCATAACTTATTTACAGTAAGCTCTTTTGGCAAGAGTGGTATCTTAATTATTTTACTTCAAATGCAATCCAAGTATGTTTTTTTTTAAATTTTGAATTCATTGTGTTTTCGTTGTATGTATACTGAGACTATTAACATAATCATATGTGTGGCCCTTACTATGGGATTTTTTTTACTACTATAGTGCACTAAAATATTTCTTATCAGCTGTAGTCCTCTTTATTTGAGAAGTAGAAATGGTTGGCTTCATGTATTGTGCTCATCCACGTTAGCTTGGCTATATTTCACAGGGATGTGAGGGGCACATACTGTGTTAGCAAGGGCATAAGCTCACAAGGAACTTTCACATCACATTAGTTTTTCAAAGTGACAAATGATTAAAATAACACAGGTAGTTCCAATGTAACCAATTGAATGTTTCTCTGGGGAAATCACAAGTTTCCTGTGGTGTTTATTTGAATTTTAAACCATTAAGCACTAGATTGTTTCAACTATATCTGTTATATTTTAAGAACTTTACAACTAACACAAAGTGTATCAACTTCTACTTTAAAGTAATAAAGCCAATAAATGATTATTTATATTTTTAGTAGACTATGAAATAAAACCTTTATGTTCTATGCACTAACATAAAGATTTGATAGGAACTTGGGTACTGCACATAGCTCATAGGATGCAAGTGTTTGACTCAGAGTCTCTACAGTAGCAATTATTTTGAATGTCTTAGCCTCTGTATTAAAATGTAAAGTCCAGTTTTCTGTGCTCCTCATGTTAATGTTTTGAACTTACCGAGTTCAGATTGTATTATGGATTTAATCTTTAAATTAAGTATAGTAATTAATTCTTGGAGGAAAGTTATTTCAATTTATTTAAAAATATATTCAATAATTTTAAACATTATTGTGTATGTGTGTATATGAGTGCCACGGCATGTGTGTGTAGGTCAGAGGATAATTCGTAGGATTCAGTTCTCTTCTGCCTGTGGGTCCTTGGGATCAAATTCAAGGTTGCAAGCTTGGGAGCAAGAAGCCGCTAAAGTTATTTACTTACCAGGCATTAGAAATACCCTCAGCAAAGGAATGTTGTCTCTCAGGCACATAGTTAAAATTACTCTGTAGCATTTACTTATCTTTGCAGTAAATAGTCATTCACCAAGTGCCTTTTGAGTTTTCCCATGGACTGTTCCTGACAGTTATGAAAAGAAACCGAGACTTAATTCTTGGTGCCCTGGCTTCTAGGGGCTCATAGATTTATGGCTCAGAAACAAGCACATGGACAGATAGTTACATCTTGGGGTATAAGGTAGAGAGGCTCACTGTTCTTCAGTGTGAATGGTAGAGTATGCACATGTGTGCATGGTAGGGTATGGAGTACTCTACTCCAGAGTAGAGAGTGATTAGATAGCTTTATGGCTGTCTGTTTAGGAAAATGTGTGTGTAGATCAATTTGCCCAGAGTGCAAAGAATGGACACATACAAGAGGCAGGAGGTCAGGCCAGCTCCAATATATTTTTAAAATCATTATAAAACTGCCTAAGTTTTCTCTACAGGCATGAGGAAGGTTACATCTAGATTTTTTGGCTTCTGACAGCATGACTAACAGACCTATCTTGTTTATCACATCATCAACATTGTAAGGAAGCATTGGGCCTGCATAAGAACAGGGGCAGGGAGCTGTATAACGTAATGAGGAACCTAAGACACAGATAATAGCATATCAACAGAAAAAAGAGTGAATTTTTGACATATTTTTTAAATGAAATGAGTAACAAATCTTCTGACTCGGCACAAGGTAAGGTAAAAGTAAAGCCATCTATTGAGATTGGAGAGATAGGTCTTAAAATGTGATTGGAAGGTAAGCTGATAAAAGGAGCAGAGAATCAGTTCCTTTAGGAATTCATGATTCGCTATTAGGTTATGAGTGGCATATGTGTCTGTCTCTGTGTACATATGATGGTATATATAGTGTGTGTGTGTGTGTGTGTGTGCGTGTGCACGTGCGTGTGTGGTGAATGAAATTTTAAGACAAAATCCAGATGAAAACAGGTACCCTATATATGGGATGATAAGGATGGGTATGTTCACCCAGGGAATTTTCTAATGCATCAGAAAGAGAATAGAAGTGAGGCTGGAAGAGCGAAAGAAACAGAACACTGGGGAGTCATCCTGGAAGGAGAGAGAAATGGACACAAGATCACGATACATGAAAAGCCATAAGATTAACAGAATATTGGCAGCAGCTTCTGGGGGCATGTCAAATGCTACAAGTGGTTGTCATTATCCCAAGACTGAAGGACATCTAGATAATACTATTGAGATGCTTACCAACAGGGCTCCAAACTCTGGGAAGACTATACCGGAATGTGAGCACATAGAAAAAGGACAGTGAATTGAGCTTGGTTTCACAAGGAGAAAGATCTGGGGAGGAACCAAAGAATTTGTGTGGTTGTATCACCAACACCATCGTTTTGTACCCCCATTCTGCCACAAATCACTACTTTGACTTTTATGAGGTACCTGATGAGACAGTGAGTTGGAAACATTGGGAAAAGGTGTAGATAGACACAGCAAAAACAACAGGCAAATACATGTTAAGAATATGAGAAATATATAGCAAAATTTTTTACTATTTGGTCCAAATATAGGCAAGTTGTTTTCTGAGAATATGGGAAAATTCCTCTTGAGGTAAAAATACCTTCAGAGATGTTAGTATTTAGAACTGGAGAGAGACCTGGGGGAGGTTAGCTGATGCTGAGGATCAGGTGGCTTATTCACAGGGGTGGAATTTAAAATCGAGGGGTGCAAGGTCTTTAACCTCTCGTCTGATGACTTATTTTGTTCATGATCCCCACAGAAGAATCTGTTCTGTTCCTAACATATCAAAATAGATTATGAATACTTCTCTTATCACTGTCTACGTTTTTATCACAGGGTTAGGATGCAAACACATTTATCAAAAGAATGGTGATCCTTCGCACATAAATGAACTCCTGGAGAGTTTCAAAAAGGATGCAAGGAGTGTTAAGTTGCGAGCTGGAAAACATCAACTTGAGGATGTGACGAGTGTGCTGAAGAGTTTTCTGTCTGACATTGATGATGCGCTTCTCACGAAGGAGCTCTATCCATACTGGGTCTCTGCACTAGGTAATGCCCTTGGGCCAAGCCATCATGCCTGTCTTCTAATTTAATACTTAGGGTTTTCTTTTAAGTTTTTGGTCATCTGAAAATTACTAAACAGCTTTTGTTTCTCTTGTCATTTATCCTACCTCTTATTAATGTAACTGACAAAATTTTTATTCATTTTCTAAAGATTCCATGTAATAAGGGAAAGTTATGTTACACCACATGGAAACTTAGAGTTTGAATCTATTAATAGATCAATGGTTAATAAAAATCCTTATTAGGTCATGTTTCTTTTACTAAAAGTTGTTTTACACACATTAATTAGAACTAGCTCCTTTGCTGAACAGCACAACAATAAGAACATTTTAATATTTTTACCTTTTTCTGTTTATAGTTTTTATTCCACACTTGTAAGGAATACAAGTGTAGTATTTTTCATAATCTACTAACATTTCTCATGTTTCTAAAGTGTTTTCAGAATGCCTATCTTCAATCTTTATAGTTTCAGTTTTTTACTTTTAGTTCTTTATATACTGTAATAATAAATATATTTCCTATATATACAATCTATTTTGAAAAATTTTTGGAAAATTTGTCTTGAATTTGACTATCTTGTTCAATCTTAAACTGAACTAATACTTTTTAAAGGGTTGACTTTGAAATCGTATCACAAAATAATGGCAATTTTTAAATTTTCCCCAGTAGCCCTTAATAATAGCAAGAAGAGAATAGAATTGTCACTAAAAATGTAGTGTATGGTAATTTAACTATCTAATTCAGAAGGTAGTCTTTGATTTGCTTCCAAGTGTTTCTCTAGTCAAGAGGGTTTTAATCTAATCCCAAGGAGAGATGAGAATATAATTTCCTGGGATGTAAACTATGTCATTACATAACATGTTTCCTAAGTCCAGTTTTCTGTGATACTTATTTTAAAGGGTTTTAGTATGAATAAAAGTGAAATTTTAATATGTATAGTTTATGAATAAATAAAATTTGTCTTCATGTGAAATTATTCATCAAAAAATAGACAGCCAATGAATTTTTTGCTAAAATTGTCTAGTGACAGAGAAGTCTTTACTATTGTCACTTGTTCCAGAAGAGGTGTTTAAAAAGTGTCAAGACTGTTTCAGAAGGTAAAGTTTTCAATTTTGACTTGGGGATGAATGTTTGAGAATTTTCTTGGCGACTTCTTTGAAAAACCCTTAGGTCTTTCACTTTTAGCCTCTCCTAGCCATTTCTGAATGCATACTGTTGGATGTCACCTTAAACCATGACTTTGTGTGACCTCCTAAGATCTGGCTCAACTGAAGCTAAGAATTCTTATAGTAAGCCAGGCATGGTGGTGCAGGCCTTTAATCCCAGTACTCTGGAGGGAGAGGCAGGTGACACACTATGGGTTCGAGGCCAGCCTACAAAGAGAGTTCCAGGACTGCTAGGGCTACACAGAGAAACCCTGTCATGAAAAACAAACAAACAGAAAACAGCAGGAAAACCCAAAGAATTCTTGTAGTAGCACACCAATTATTTATAAAATGCATGAATGTCATCACATAATACACAGGAGCTGGCAACCCTGCCAAACATTCTTGTCCATGTGTTGATAGTCACCTTGGGCTTAGGTACTGCACAAATATTATAATCCCAAGATTTCCTTGCTATTGATAATTGAATGATTTAGACATTGTATTTTGATCATCTTTTCCCTCTCCCAATTCCTCCCAGGTCCTCTCTATCTCCCTACTCACCCAACTTCATGTATTCTCTCTGTCTCAATGGAAACAACAATAACAACAAAACTGATACACAGAGTAATTCACAGAGACTGTGGACTGTGATAGCATGCATAATACTTGCACATGTTCAAACCAGACAAATTTCCAGCACTGAGATAGGGTAGTACACAAAAGGTCCCACCCCTAACCTAGAACTGTTTGTAATTGATACCTTTTGGGAAAGGGAAAGGGAACATAGACTTTCTCCAATAGAGTGTCACTGGCTGTATCAACCAAACTCCAGGGCAGGTCACAACTAAATTGCTCATTGTATACTTCTGCCCCTTGTGCGTGTATGTGTATGTGTGTATATGATATATGCATGCTCATGCATGTGTGTGAGGGGGTGTGCATATCAGAAGTTGGTGTCAGGCCACTTTTCCAATCACTTTCCACAGAATTGTTTTGGGACATTTTCTCTCACTGAACTTGAAGCTTTGTAATTGACTATATTGGCTGCCCAGAAATCCCCAGGGATCTTGTATCTCTGGCTGCCCATTCTGGAATTACAGTCATACACTACCATGCCTGGTTTTTTACTTAAATGCTGAGAATATAAACTCAGGTATTCATGCTTGCATAACAGGCCTTCTACCCACCAAGACATCTCCTCTGCCCACTCATCGTATTTTCTATATGACTTGAAATCTTCCCCAATTTTTCTTTCTAATTGCATTGTTTTGAGAATATCTGTTTATTTTTGTAAAGTACATGAAATGTGCTCTACTATTTGTTGCTTGATCTAAGTGTTATAATGTTAATTAGATTTTATTGAATGCATGAGATTGCTTCTAAAATCATAAACTAGAGACATGGGGAGGTTATGTTTGGATTATCCTGGGATAAAAAATAATTCTAAATTCATGGGGTGATTTGGATATTTTCCCTTCCTGCATTCCCAGAGTCCTGTCTGGGTACCACACTTCCTTTTCTAGACCTCAGGTGCAGCTGAAATGAGCACAGAGACAACATTTGTGATTTTGAACAGGGACATACTTGGAAAATATGTCACAGTTCCTACATCCCTGGGGGATCTTACAGCACTTTTCAAGGGACTGTATACATTTAAAGACTCTTTGGAATGTCCCTGGCTCTTCTTGTGTAGTAGCTAGGTAGGGCTAGGCAGGAAATGGAAATGTCTTCCTTCCAGATGTCCCTGGGCCTTGATCCAGAAGAGTAAGTGCAAAGTAAGCAAAAGTTGTTGCTATGAAGAATAGTTGGTACTTCCCACATCATCTCATAGTTTGGATTGCACTGCCAGTATAATCCACTTGAATTCTACCATGTGGAAAAGTTCCCAGTTCTTAGCTACTCCAGAGGTTTGTCTTCTGGGATTAAGAGGAGAGAGGGCGATCCTTTCTCATTTGTCTTTTGATGGACCAATTAATTTCTTTTCATGACAAAAGCACAAGGCCCATGATCTTCTAAATCTGAATTATGGTATTAAGACCTGTACACCACCTCTTCCACATTGTCCTTTTTCTTTTTCTGAGACTTGAAGGCAGCCTGGCTGGTAACAAGCCCCTTATGTAGATCAAAGGAACAGTACAGTTTATAGTTCTGGGATGTCTCATAGCTTAGAGAAGATGTTTAGGATTTCATAAGGAAAAGGGTTCAGAAATATTATTTTCAAATAAAATTGATGAAGTTCCACTATAGCTGGATATAATATACCTTTGGCTTAGATTTTCAATGTATAATGAAGTTTGAATAATCTATTGACTGTATTCCTGTTAAGATGTAGAAGTCTATACAATAGGCTATATAAAAGGAAAAAAATCCCTTTTCCTCTCATTTTGAAAGTGCCTAATTTACAATTACAGATTATAAGAACTATAATATATGACTGTGTGATGTTGTGTAAATAGTTGCTTTTTTATTTTTAGAATTATAGGCAATTGTGTTAAAAACTTGGATGTTTTCTCTTGAAACCTGATTGTATCCTTTATACGCTTGTAACTATTAATTAAAAAATAATATTGAAAGGTAAATTTACAATATAAATGGCTGGTTTAAATGTAAAGAATTTCTCCCTAGATACACAAGACGAAAAGGAAAGAACTGAAAAATACAGAGCATTCATCCGCACTCTTCCAGGGGTCAACAGAGCGACACTGGCAGCTATAATTGAGCACCTTTACAGGTAGGTAGACTCCTGAAACTTTGGAGCATTTTAAAGCATGACCACTGTCAAGATGTCAGTTTCTTTGAAACTTGAACTTGTGTCGCTGAACTTCCCTGTCTTACGTGAAAACTTACAAATCCAAGGAACTGTTACTTTACCCTACATTTTTATAATTAAGGTATATTTACAGTTGAGTATGTTGGGGATGTTCTTAAATAAGTGAGAAATGATTGTATACAGCACTCCTCGGCATTCTGTTAATAAGCAGGACATTTAAAACTTTTTTGAGCCTGAAATTGGAGAAGAAATTGATTTTCTCGTGATACTCTATAAACATAGATAAATTACACAGAGCAGTTTCTGTCTATACTATGTGAGGACAAATGTTTAAATACAGAATTTTGTAACATGATGCAGGGAGCTATGGAGGAATGATCGAATGACTTCATACTGAAGGGCTGGAGTCCTGTAGTAGGGAGAATTCTGAGAATACAATATTTTCATTTGTGAATTTTATAAACTTTTGATATAGCTTTTTTTTAAGTAAAAGTAGCTGATTTACAGATAAGATTTAGAAATATTCCACAATGCTTTATCTTTGCCAGCCAGATATTCTCTTGTAACATGTAAACTATTACTATAAAATGATTTTTAGCGTTTTTGTTTAGCTCCCAATTTTGTTTTTCTTTATTTGGTGGTTGGGATTGTGAATGTTAAGCATGATTCCATAGTGAGCTATAGGCAAAACCTAAAAAAAACCATATATTTATATTGTATCACACACATAACTATATGAGATGCTAGGATAAAATTAAATATATACTTTTGGAATTAAGTAAGAGAAAATGAAGGAGTCAATATGTGCTGAAGTCCAAGGAATGTCGGCAGTTCAGGCAATTCTTCAGCGTTAAAGAGACATATGAACTGGATACAAAACATAGTGGTCATAGCTACTAGGGAGCTCGTAAAGAAGAATTGTTTGAGCCCAGGAGTTCAGGGACATCCTGAGAACTGGAGACATTGTATAAACAAGCAAGCAAGCAAGCAAAAGACTAAAGAGAAACCCAATGCATGGGTAGAATGTATCTTCTAGGCACAGGAGTACTAGGTGACCAGAACAGTTTCCTGGCAGGAAGTTATGAAAGACTTTGTCAGCTGTATATACTGTTTGGATTTTACAAGAAATGACTGATATAATCTGGCTTAGCACAGTATCTCCTGGGAAGGGAGCATCTGGGAAGAGACAGAGAAGTCTAATTGGGAAACATTTCCCTGGGCTCTGATGAGAAGGTCAGGGTAAGACTCTGAGAAGACTGGTTATGAAATACCGGGTAACAATAACATCTCAGTATCAAGAAGTATAGGAAACAATCTGCCATGTACACAGTTTATTCCAGACATTAAGGTAATCAGAGAAACTAAGTGCATTGACAGCTAACGAGGTCCACAGAGGGATGGTATTACTGAAGAAGGCTCAAGAATGTCAGGAATTGGGTAATGTCATCAAAAGTGTGAGTCACCTTGGATGCAGTTCAATACCTGCCCAAGATAACAACTCACTTCTGCCATCGGTAGCAGCCACTTCCTCTCACCGTGTATTCATTATGCACCACGGAGTGATTAAAGCAAGAGTCTCTTCCTGAGATGCTGGTATTCTAGGAACAGGGATAAATTTTCTAGATATTTACAGTCTAGTGTGATAAAAGTGCAGAAGTGGTGTGGAGGAGCACTTGCAATTGTTACCTCTTCCTTTATTAAATTCTAGTTCCTTTTCCATCTTGTAAATCATCTGTGATGACTGCAGTTTCTTTATCCAATCTCTGCTGTGAAGTTTTGCATTTTATTATAGATTTCTGACATTATCATATATATTACTACCATGTTTACTCCTTTTTGCATGCATCTAGTAGACTCTATAGTCTATATACACAGGAGCACCTCTCTCAATCAAGAATAGTTTGCTCTTTCTTGGTGTGTGTGTGTGTGTGTGTGTGTGTGTGTGTGTGTGTGTCCCCATCCATGTCCAATGTAATTAAGTCAAGAGTCATGCAGCTGCTCTATATTCAGTTAGTGAAAATTCAATAGAGATCATGAACAGGGACTTGTACTTGTATTTCTCCTCGACATTTTTATCCTTGTAACTGTCCCTTGTGGAGGTTACTGCTGTTGTGAAGCACTTTTAACTTATATGGGTGAATATTTAAAATGCCCTTTCCAGTACCCAAAGGTTGTAGCTGACTGATTAGAAGAATTAATTATCTTGTCAATATCTATTTATTTTAGAAAGGCATTTTCGGGGGCTGAAGAGATAGCTCAGCAATTAAAATCACGTATTGATCATTCAGATGACTCGGGTTCCATTACCAGCACACACATGACAGCTCAGAATCATCTGTAACTCCGGTTCCTGGAGATTCAATGCCTCTTCTGCTCTCTGTGGGCACCAGATACACAAATGGTGCACATAGATACATGTAGGCAAACACCCATAAAGTAAAACACATTAATAAGTAATAAAGGCATTCTTATTAGTTTCTAAGATAAGGATAGCTGTATTTATTAATTATGCTTTTGCTCTTTTAGATTTAATGATAACCTGCTTTGAATAACTGGATGAACACCTGTTGTGAAAGGACTTGAGAAGTCATAAAGAACCATTTAGATTTTATTCTGTTAAAGGGAACGTTGTTGTCTCATCAAGTCTAGTTTATCATAGCAGCCCTTCTGATGGGATTCACTGGTTAATGACAAATAAATAACCAGGAAATGGTTTCTTTGGCTCTGATGTGAAGCTTAAAGTATATGTACTTAGCTAATGGTGTACTTTGTGGAAAAATGTAGCCTTTGCCTGTGACCTGAAAACTGTCATTACAAGTCCAGCAAGTCCCTGTAGAGCCTGTATTATCCTGACTTCCTGCGCTGCTGCTTCTCTCGTTTATGATGCAGCCACATACGTCGTTTCAAACTGGGACTTACACATGTTTGTGCTCTGGGCATGGGTTGTTCATTGGTTGCAACTGTTTGTATACAGTCATCAGTCTCTGAGCACCAGGCACTGCTCCTTTTAACAGTAATTTTGCTTCTGTTCTTAACTAGGCTGTAAATGTCTTTTAATTCCCACTGCGCCTTTTATTTCAAAGAGCTTCATACTGTGTGCGTGTGTGTGTGTGTGTGTGTGTGTGTGTGTGTGTGTGTGTGTATGTGTATGTATGTGTGTGTGTGTGTGTGTATGTGTATGTGTTTAAAAATGATAACTGAGGATTTTAGCTTATGTTTCTATAAAGTTCTTGAATACAAGTATGTCATAATGAGATATACTTTCCCCTAACAGGGTTCAGAAATGCTCAGAAATCAATCACATGAATGCCCATAACTTGGCATTGGTCTTTTCATCCTGCTTATTTCAAACTAAGGGACAAACTAGCGAAGAAGTCAATGTAATTGAAGATCTAATTAATAATTACGTTGAAATATTTGAGGTAAGAATTCTAAACCCTCCCTTGTTACAATGGGTTAGGCATCACAGCTTGCCGAACATGGTGCCTATTTCAGGACGTTACTCAGGTCCTTGTGAATATTTAAAAAATAGGGACCTTGAAGGATAGTTTGGTTTGAAGGTTTTAGATATAACTGAATTTGAAAACAGTAACCATTTATTTAAATGTAGCAGCTTTTAAATATTTTCACCATCTGTTGTCTGTTGGACAGCATACTATTTACAGGGTTTGTGTGTGTGTTTTCTTTTCACTGTGTATATGCATTAAGTATGTCTACTGAGAGGTGTGAAGTTATGTGTTTAACAAATGCAGTGATCAACAAAAGCCTATTAAATGCTGCTATTGAAATCACTTTTTTTTTCTTTTTCTTTTTTCTTTTTTTTTTTTTTAATGTGCTCCAATTGGAGGACAATTATGACACATTGTCTTATGGCTTTTACTGAGTCCTCACTTGTATTTATTTCACTTTTCAGTTTGCGGTTCTCTGGAGTGAGTATTCTTATATTTTTTTTTTTTTTAGTAAACTATTAGAATAGTAATATTTTTATAGTCTAAGGAAGATAAAATATGGGAAATAAGGATAGGCTTTAGTAATTTAGTAATGGAAGGTAAGAGTCCCTTCCATTGTATAAATAACACTCACACCCCTTTTTTGGTCTAGAGTGGTTCAGAGCTTGCTCAAATGATATTTTCTTGTATTCTGTGGGTACAGATGTGCCAAATGAAACCAGATGAGTTGGAGTGGCCATTTAGTAATCTTAAGAATTTTATATTTTTGTTACTATTTTTTAATTAATTTATTCTTCTCTCATATATTATATCCTGACCACAGTTTCCCCTCCCTTCTCTCCTTCAGACCCACCCCTCCTCTATTTCCCTTCAGAAAAGAACAGGCTTCCAAGGCTATCAACCGAACATGGCAGAACAAGATACAATAAGTTTAGGCACACACCCTCATATCCATGCTGGACGAGGCAATCCAGTAGGAGGAAAAGGATCCCAAGCATAGGCAGAAGAGCCAAAGTCAGCCCTACTCCCTTGTGGGAGTCCCACAAGAACAAGCTCCACAACCATAGCGTATATGCAGAGGACCTAGGTCAGACCCATACTGGCTCCCTGATTGGTTGCTTCAGTCTCTGTGAATGCCTATGAGCTCTGGATAGTTGATTTTCTGAGCCATATTCTTGTGTTGTCCTGGACCTCTCTGGCTCCGATAATTTTTCTTCCCCTCTTCTGTAGAATCTCCTCAGTTCTGTCTAATATTTCACTGTGGGTTTCTGCATCTGCCTCATCCGTTGCTGGATGAAGCCTCTCTGATGACGATTATGCTAGGTTCTAGTCCACTAATATAGCAGAATATCATTAGGAATCATTTCATTAACTTCTTTCCCCCAACAGTCATGTTTGGTTCTATCCTAGGCCTCTGGGCTATCCAGCCTCTGGTTTGTGGCCCTTCAAGCAATGTTAGCCATGGGTCTCAGGTTGGACCCGTCAGTGGTTAGCCACTCCAACAATTTCTGTGCCACTTTTACCCCAGCACATCCTGCAGGCAGGACAAATTGTAGGTTAAAGGTTTTGTGGCTGGCTTGGTATCCTAGTCCCTCCACTGAGGCAAGGTTCAGGCTCGATATCCCCTATTACTAGGCATCTTCCTGGGGGCACTGTCATATATTCCAGGGAGTTTCCATTGCACTATATTTCTACATTACCCCCAAGATACCCCCCCAAGTTCTGGTTATCACTCCCAGTATTCTCTCCTTTTCTATCTCCCCTGACACCTGATCCCTTCTGTTTCCATCCCCACCTGCCCACAGTCCACCCATGAAATCTATTCTATTTCCCCTTCCCAGGGAGATTCATGCATCCACCTTGAGCCCTCCTTGTTACCTAGCCTTTCTGGGTCTGGGGATTATAACATGATCATACATTACTTTATAGCTAATAGACACTTATAAGTGAGTACATAACATGTTTGTACCTTTCATTCGCCTGCAAATTCCGTATCATTTTTTTTTAACAGCTGAGTAATACTTGATTGGGTAAATGTATCACATTTTCTTTATCCAATCTTCAGTTGAGGGGCATCTAGGTTGTTTTCAGTTTCTGGCTAATGTGAATAAAGCTGCTATGAGCATAGTTGTGCATGCGTCAGTGTGGTAGGGTGGAGTGTCCTTGGGTATATGCCCAGAAGTGAGACAGTTTTCCTTATTACAGGAAGACAAATGATTTTTACTAATATAACAGTTTGTACTGTAATTTCTAGGCGAGTTCATACCAAAATTGCCTTTTCATTGCTCTTTGGTCTCTTTTTCATTTCTTGCTGTTTGTCTATTGTTTTTTTTTTTTTTTTTTTTTTTTTTTTTTTTTGATCAATAGCACCTTCTTTGAAATGATCTGATGCTGAGATAAACAAAAATAAATGTGGCTTTACATGCTCTCTTTATTATGTTAATAAAGCTAAATGGTTACCTTCATAGTGTTGTTGAACTTAAGCTTTTACTGAAAGTTTAATAAGCCCTTAAAGAATATTTATATTTGAGTGATGAGTCTTGTTTCTCACCTGCAAGCAATTTCAGAAACTGTCCATGGGAACCTGTGTCGGTAAATATCTATGGTTTTTCCATGAGTAAACTCTACAGTCTGATGGGACATCATCAAAGCATGTTTTGAACCCTATGAGGCTCTGCCCAGTTGGCTTCATGTTGCCCAAATTGTGGGGCTCATGTGATCAAGATGATGATAATGATGGCCATCCTGGTCTTTTTGCAGTTCGTTGTTTATTTACATTCCTGAGGAGCTAGGTGAGAAAGAGCACCCTCGCTCTGTGTACTCTACATTATTAGAATATCCCAAATTATATTTTAAACAGGTTAAAGAAGACCAAGTCAAACAAATGGACATAGAAAATAGCTTTATAACCAAGTGGAAAGACACTCAAGTGAGTAGTAAGAGTTAGTCTCTAAAGACTTGAAAGCAAAACGTTCGTAAATACATTTGTGGTGTGTGTTCAAGTTCCTATGCAAAGCAAAGTAAAAGAGACTGAGGGAAGATTGGGGCAAGTCTGAAACCTGATGCATACATACAGAATGCATTAGTATAACCTTAGATATTGAGGAAGCAATGGTTAATATTTACTAAAAACAAAACACCATTGGCTATGCCAGTGGCTTTCAAAAGAAGCATTTAAAGCCAAAGTAATACTAAACTAAATTGCAAAATCCTACAGCATAATGTTTTTTTCCCTTATGATTAGGGAAATATAAATGATTTCTCACATGCCTCTGCTCTGCATGCTCTCAGATGATTGTATTAATGAGACGGTTTCTAAGGTGACCTGTGCAATGCATACTAACTTTTGTCTTAAGTCTGCTTTTCTAAATCCTGTCTTGCTTTCCTAGTTACATTACTTTGGACTTGTGTGTTCAGGATGCACCAGGCTTTTTCTGGGTACCTTACCTTGTTTGATGAATTCCCTGGAACGTCTTAAGGTTGATCATTAATCATCTTCTGGTAACTAGGAATGATAATGGATTCAGGGTTTCACTGTAAATAATAGAAATGGGTCAAATGTACTCTGTTCATAATTACACTCAGATAATGAGGCAAATTCCTGCTTATTAGTCAGACCCAAAGTTTGCTTCAGTCCTGAAATGTCTGCTACTAATTAAAGGAATCATTGCAGCTATCGTTCTACATGAAGCAGATGAGCACATGCTTAGATTCCCTTCAAACTAATACTGTGATATTAATTACTTAACAAATGATTCCCTCCATTTTGGCTGAAAGTAATTAATGAAACTTCCAGAGGAGTTAGGTATAACACTAAACTAAAAATAATCTGGCTTATTATCAGTGCTTATAACGCTCACTTGGTATGGATGTAAATCGGTCCTGAAATGAAGGATTTTGAGCCTGAAAGGAAATCTTTGTCAATCTGATCTATATTGTTATTGCCCAAGTATCTGCTTGTACTTTACAACAAAGAAAAAAAAATCTTGGATGTCTTGGCATTGCCATAAGTAAAACAACCATGTACAAAATAAGTTAATTGAGAAAGACAATAAGAATAATGTGGAAAATGGTTATTTCTGCTTGAGTCTTGCTTCAGTCTATTTCAAGCCCTGCTTGGAACTCTTTTCTGAATGCTCTGTCTTCCTCTTATTTTAATTCTTAGCTACTTAACTACTTAAGTACTTAGCGACTGGTTGGTCCACTTTGTATGTTCTGTGTGTTTGCCTTTTTAATTTTTAAAATATTTTCTTCTTGCTATAATGTTTATAAAAACAGTGAAAAGCAAAAATGTCAGCTGTTTCTTTCTCCCTTGAAATTTTATGTAGAATCAAAACTGAGAAAGAAAAATTGGAAATAAGCTTTTCTATGCATATAGTGACAAAATAAGCAAGAGTATTCCTTCAAAGTACATTTTAATCTTTCTCTCAGTACATTTTAATCTTTCTTACTCATTAGATTTTAGATTCTTATGCTAAGGAAAATTTAACATCAGAATGAGTATGTCTCAGAATATTTTTAATTTATTGGTGATAGATGTGTTTCAGCGGATATACAGTGGCATTCTGAAAAAAAAACAGTCTATACAAATTATTTTTTATATATTGATTTGATTATTTAGCTCTATTTTATTCTGTTGGTCCACACGGTGCTGTCTTGCCCTTTTCTTTTTTAGTTCTAACTTCGCTTAGTCTCTGTTTTGGCAGGTAATGACCCAACAGAATGTTCTTAAATGCTTCCGCGAGGATAATAAAAACTAAGGCTCATCTTGCTTGTCTATCTTATTCTATTATTTTACTTTTACTTTTATTGCTGAATTGCTTTCCCTGTTTATAATTTCAGTGCAGCTTTGAGATAACGTACCTCACCATTTCAGTGTTGGAATGTGTCAGCTGCATGAAAATTTACCAAGGCTTATTTTGTCTTTTGAGATGATGTCCACATGGATTAAGAGCTTTGCATATTCTGTGGCTCCTAAATGCGTGTTGTCAAATGCAGCCTGTGTCCTTCCTAGAGTCCTTGCTTCAGTATTTGAAGCTACTAAGGCCTTGACCATGGCATAAAATCTCATACTGTGACTGTTGTTCTAGCTATATCATTTGTTTAGAGTCTAAACTAGAAACTCTTGTCTGTAATCAAACACATTTTGAAATAAGTACCTAATAATGGTGAGCAGAGGAATTGAGCCAATTTCAATGCTGTACATTTTTGAGAAGTGTGACAGGTATTTTGTAACCACTCTCTTAGGTGCTGTGTCTGTGATTTTTGTGACATACTTACATGTGCTATCTTCACATCTGCCCTTTTCTAGGTGTCCCAGGCTGGAGACTTGTTAATCGAAGTATTTGTAGAAAGGAAGGAACCTGACTGTAGTATTATAATTCGGGTGAGTCCTAAGGAACAATATAAAGGGTTCTGTTGGAATCCTAAGAGCTGGTGTTCACTGACAAATTTTCTGGCATATTTTGATTTTTAGGTTCTCTTCAGTTCAAACAGTGACTGACAACAAGATTGATCTTTCCTGGCAGTATCCTCTAGGAATTTGGAATTTTAATTATTTGGAATAGGGCATCGCCTGTGCATTAGTTAAGATTTTTCTATAGGTGCCAGAAAATAAACTGAGCTCAAGTACTTGCTTCTGCCCTTTCTAAAATTTTAACATGAAGCAAATTATTTACCCTGATTTAGCCTTCATCTTCTTAACTATAAAATGAGGAAAAATTACAGGATTAATATTGTATTATTGATAGAGCGACTCATTAATATAAAAGTATGTAAACACATAGCAAATTATTTTCCAAATTACTGTTTAATAAGTACCTATTTTAGTATTATTAATGTTCAGTCTCATTTCCACTACTCCAACATTTAAACTTAAATATTAGGTAAGTCTTCCTTTGAGCTAAACTAAAAATAGATATTTTTCATAGTATTGTCATCCGTGACAATATTTCTTCTTTAGGGATAAGAGCAGTACTTTTTCATGTGCTTTTTTTGCTAAGATGATTTTTCCTCTGTAAAGAGTGCACATTCTTCTGTGTAACAGAAATTCACTTTATTATCTCTTTTAAAATCTAAGATGTTAAATATCCTGGAACTACTAACTTAGGTAATTCCAGTGCTTATGTATTGTGACTATATGTCATTAGCTGCCTTGCATAGGACATGGAGCTGGAACATGATCATAGAGTCTATGATCAGATCTCGAGTGAGGCATTTTCTCTTCATTAGTCACATCATAGTTCTTATGCTGAATGTGTAACTGTCATAATAATAGGAATTAAAAACTATTACAGATTAAATTACAGACTCAATCACTCAGGAAAAGTCTATTGTTTAATGCTAGAAGAGATAGAATACATGCTTTAACTCTGCATATATATTATAAGAATATATATACATATATACTTTTTAAAAGCATGTTTTAATTTTGTTTTTCTAATGAAGTTGTATTCATTATTACAGTTATGCAAAGTTCTCCCATATTTCCTCACTGTCTTATAATAAAAAACTATGTAATTCCAAACAATCTCAAAAAGCAGAACAGAAGTAACTAACTACACAACAATAATCAAATAATCAGTACCATTTGCATATAACTCTGAGTGAAAAACCACATTGCTGTATTTATACCCTTGATTTTGACTTCAAGCCCTGGAGGCTGATGATATACCAAGTTTTGGGGAATGGAAAATGGGAATTGAAAGACATTAAGGGCACAGTGCAGACTTGGATCAGCATAAGCTACCCCTGATGTTCATTACACTACTGTTTGCATTTTATAAATAAATGCTTTCCTGAAGTGTGGAGTTCAAGGCACTTCCTGCTGCTTATTTCACACATTTCATTTCTCACTCATTTTTAGTCCTTGAAGAAAGGGCTATATTTCTTTAAGAAAATCTTTTCAGCCGGGCGGTGGTGGCGCACGCCTTTAATCCCAGCACTCGGGAGGCAGAGCCAGGCGGATCTCTGTGAGTTCGAGGCCAGCCTGGGCTACCAAGTGAGTTCCAGGAAAAGGCGCAAAGCTACACAGAGAAACCCTGTCTCGAAAAACAAAAAAAAAAAAAAAAAAAAAAAAGAAAATCTTTTCAAGGCTGAAGAAATGGCTCATCAGTTAGGAGATGTGACTGGTCTTCTTTAAGACCCTAGTTTGATTTCCAGAACCCACATGGTGACTCACACCATCTGTAACTCCAGTTCTGGGGAATCTGAAAACCCTCTTCTTACCTCAGAGGGCATCAGATGTCCCAGTGGTATGCATGCATACATGGAGGAAAAGCATCCAAACCCATAACATAATGAAATCACATTTAAAATATTTTAGAGCAAAGGCAGATTGGAAGCATCATGGAATTATCCACCTGCTATTTCCATTGCTACATGTTCTCCACTTTTACTGGATGTTGAGATCCAATGGAAGTTGACAATTCTTTGTGAACCTCCAAATACAAAAGAAATATGCTTCATTGTGTAATTAATATAGTTCATAAATTAAACCCTGAATTTCATGAAGATAGAATAAGTGAGTTACCTATAATGGCGTGCGCGCGCGCGCACACACACACACACATACAAAATATGGACAGATGAGCAAATCTAAGAAAATTTTAAGTTAGGATATTCATCCAAACTAAGTTATAGTTGCAATGTTCTAATTATTAATTTGTCTGCTGCTTAACATTATCTCTAAATTCTAACTAAAGAAACCCCTGTTGTTTTTTTAATAATATACAGTCAAGATTGGCAAGATCCCAGAAATCCTAGAGTCCCTGAAAAGGTGATATGCTCATAGAGTGGCCTCTAACTTTGAGATGCTTGTGGATCTGTGCCCGAGGCTGGTACTACAGATTCTACTGGATCCTGAAATACTAGCTTGAATGTACTCTGTATGTTGGTATGCCACCATCTGTCACTTGGCATTGCAGTGAACACCACAGACACTAAAACCCCTGGGCTTCTTGGCATGGCAGATACTGTTTAATCATCTTCATATTATTTAGGGTTCAGGCTGAATAAAACAAGTAACTATCCACTCTTGATTATGGAAAGAAAAATGAAAAGTTTTCCTGTGAGAGAATTATCAGACTTATCTGATGAGGTGTTTGTGTATGTGTAAATGTGTGTGGAGAGAGAGAGAGAGAGAGAGAGAGAGAGAGAGAGAGAGAGAGAGAGAGAGAGAGAGAGAGAGATTGACGATGTATATCTTGTTTGAGTGCCTAGTTGCTTACTAAAACAAATAATTCTCCCCAATGTTTCTATATTACAATATGTCTTTGACTTGACATTACAGTGTGTTTTGTGGAGAAAAAAATATAACTGTTTTCTTTTCTATGTTCTTGGAGAATCATCAGATGGGGAACCTGATTAGCACAAGACTACTTCTGTGTCAGACATCTTCCTTCTCTTACAGATATCTCCTGTAATGGAAGCTGAAGAGTTAACTAATGATATATTAGCAATAAAAAACATTGTTCCTACCAAAGGTGATATTTGGGCTACATTTGAAGTCATTGAAAATGAAGAGCTAGGTGAGTGGCTTTCATACTAGAGATTCTTCAATTCCTTACAGAATGAAGTACACTTCGAGACAAGCCATTACTAACATTTGCTGTTTTCCTAAAGATTCGTATCTCATTGTGAATTCCTTTCTACCTCTGTGCCCACTGACATATGTTATCACCACTTGAGGTTGACATCCTATGATGTTGCTCATCAGAATAATTAATTCTTCCATTAATTATATAAATCAGTATAAAGCCTTAGGTATCTTTGTTGCTGTCTTATCAAATAATGGTTTTGTTCATAAGGACAAGCAGTTTGATTAATAACAATATCGTAAATGTCACCTCCCCAGCACCTTATCTCTGTATGGTCTATATTTAGTAAGAACAAAGGATACATATTTAAAAGATTATTGCTCACTCCAAATCAAAACTTTTAGCTCTAGCAGAAACCTCTCTTTTGGCTGTTTCAGTCTCTTCTGTCATCAATGTATCACTTTGTCATCTTTCCTCCCAAATAAGCTGAAGAGTAAAGAGACCATTTCAAACACCTTGACTCCCTGGTTGCAAAGTGCTGAATAAGCTTAACATTCTAATGACACCATTTGGTTTTAAAGACCTCTAGGAGACAAAATAAGATGCAGAATTTCATTGTACCTTGACCATCTGTCTGGCTGATACCTACTAAGGTCTTGGGACCCTTTCAAGTATAGCTGTCAAACTGCCAAAAGGAAAACATTGCCACCCACAAGCTCAAGATAAAAATTAAAATTCAATGTTGAACTACCCCAGGGTGCATTGTTTGGAATATTGAAGTCAGCATTAAAATGGAAGGGGATTAGTATGCACTCCTTCATCACTCCATCTTGATATTTTTATTCATCTGATTTTTTTCAAACATAATTCCTTAAAAATTAATGGGACTTACAATGTGATATTGTCAATATGTCATGTCAAGATACCGTATTCCCTAGTGTTTGGGTGTCAGTTCTCAGTATCTCCCTTCCTTAGACTCTATCCCCACTGGACAGAACTGCTCTGGCAAGTGACTCCTGTGACCCCCAACTATGAGACTCAGCAGACCTGCTTTCAGCTTCACTCTAGCTGACATTCTGTGCCATCGATTGCTAATGACCTTTTCTTTTTCCTGTGGTGATATCCAGTCTATTTTAGGTGCCGCTTCCATGTTCTTCTTGGTTCTTCAATTGTTCCATCAAATTTATACTTTTTCTCTTCTGTCAGTTGTTACAAATTGTATTTGTTGTTTTACATAGGTACAGTAACACAGCTTCACAGAGTTAAAAAATAGCACACCTTAAAATAATATTCTACTACATCTAGATTCTTTTTTTCTTTCTTAAAGAAATCACTTTGATTCCCACTCTCATTATGTTTTTAGATAAAAGATGTCTATTGACACTATTGCCAAGATTAACTGGATAAGTCACAAACAGGGTTGTATTGTTCCATTGTTAAAATCATCTTTTCATTACTCCATCATTTTGACCTTCCACCACATTTCCAGACATGGATAAAGTATGCATAAGTTCTTTGCCAAGATGAAATATTAATACTCCCTGTTACTGTTATCAATGGAGTCCTCATTTCTATCCTGAACTTACAACCTTAATCTATATTATTGACATTTTAATATATATTCTGGTCTTGTGTGATAGAGACCAAAAATGCCTGTTAATTTCTGTTTATTCCATGCTAGGTCTATTATCCTTCTCCAGACATTTCCAAATTCCCCCCACAAATCAATTCCACAGGCTTCTGACTCATGTGTGAGCTGTGATCATGCCTATGACCCATTTTTTTCCCCTGTTGAATTTCCATTCATCAGCTTTCTGGCATTGTAACACATGTCTGTGATAAACCATATATATGGAGAAGAGAGTTCTTTAGTCTCACCACTCAAAAAAGCTGCTTGTCACTTGATAATGAGGAAGCAAAGAGATAAAGTCTAGGTCTCAATCTCTCCTTCAAAAACATGCCCCAATTAGCTAGCATCCTTCCCTTACAGAACACTGGACACAGGTTCCACTATACCCTCAGAGCACCATAGGCCCTGACGAAATCTTCAACATATGACCTTTGGAGATCATTCAGAACCTAAATTGTACCAGAGAGGTTTTTGTTTGTTTGTTTGTTTTTGTTTTATCTCCATGAGCAACTGCTCTGTTTTAAACAATGCTGTGGTCTTAGTACTTAACCACAAACTGATCTTACCCTCTCTGTATGTTCTGTAATTCTCAAAGAATTATCTGCTTGAGGAGCTCATTTATGTAGACTTCACTGAGGATTTTGGTTTTATGAAGCAAGTACTTCCTGTGCAGCAATATGATAGCAAAATATTTCCTTTTCCCTTATAAATACTATGGTATGGAAGATCTATGTGGTTGTATTAATATGATTTCAAGCTCTTCGCCTCATCTATATGTAAAATGCTAATAAAATACAGGTTGGGATGAAGAGAGGCTTTTGCCTTCCTAAGTTTGGCCCAAGGAATTAGAGTGGAAATGCCATCATCATTTGTGAAAACCTGTGCTACCAATGGCAGATATTTAATGATAGCAGCTGTTATTTCCAATGAAAATTCACTAGCTTTCCTATTGAACTAAGTAAATGAGGTTCATTCTCTGCACGATTTTAAAAAGTTGATGACATTTTAATTTTTACTTTCTTCCTTATCTGTTCTCTTTTTACACTGAATTTTTGTCAATATACAGGAAGTAGACAGTAGGAAGTGCTATTTCTAGATAATGACCTGCTTCCACATGATACATGCCCTATCCTGTGTAATCTGCCATGACGTAAGGCTGCAAGTATCACCATCAACAAACATATATTTGTAACATTTATATTTTAACAGTGTTTGATACCTCAATCCATTTTTGATGCTTTTCATCCCTTTCTTAAATTTTGCAATTGTAGTGTTTGATGATCTGTAATATTTATCTCTTCATTTACAACTCTGTTTTTTATCTAGAAAATTGAATTTGCAAGGTTATCCTCCTCCTCAATTATTTCATACAGTGATCCTGATCAGAAAAAATACACTTAAATTTTGTGACAAGAATTAATTATCTATCTATTAACAAGCCTATGTGTCTGCTGTAACACATTTCAGTATAGTGAGAACACAGCTCCATCAATATGGAATCTACTTATAATTGAGTGTACTAGTAACCATCTTTGGTATAAGTCTTCTGAAAATTGGAAATCTCATTACCAATTCTATTCCATGGCTCATCCCCTAGTCTAGTAACTGTGTCATACCTGCCTTGTCATGCCTACTGCTTAATCGTCATTTTCCTTGGATGTAATGTTGAAACTATTGCTGCTATTTCTTTACCAGTGAAAGGAAGAAAGGCAAACTTTTTTTTATATATTGCATTATTTTGGGCTCAAAAACATCTTTATTCCCTCTTACCACCCAAAAATTACATATGAGAAACCATCTTGGGAGATTTACATAATTGATGGAAATCAACCTAAAGACTGAACTTAAAATATCAGAACTTGAAAGTACAGTTAGGTTTAGGATTTAAATCTCTGGTTCTCGCCTTAACTCCTTAGATGACTAGGCAAAAGGAGTAAGTTCTGTGAAATGTCATTTTACATATAAAGTAAGAAGATTAATAATGGATACTGATGTTGTTGGTTGGTCTTTGGTCTTTTTTGGGGGACCCTCCACCCAGCTCCCAAATAAGCACACATGGAGGCTTATTATTACTTATGAATGCCTGGCTTTAGCTTGGCTTAGTGTCCAGACAGCTTTCCTTATCTTATTCCATCTACCTTTTGCCTCTGGGCTTTTCCTGTTCTCTTACTTCTATAAATCTTACTCTTACTTCATGGCTAGCTGGTTGTGTAGCTGGGTGGCTGGCCCCTGGAGTCCTCCTCCTTCTCCAGCTCTTAGCTCTTTCCTCCCAATTTTCTCCTTCTATATATACTTGAAGAGTGCATTTGGGAGGATGTAGGCAATAACTGATATATTGTACACGATACATACACTAGGTGCACAGTGGTTATTCTGGAAATTGACAACTTCTAATGGGATCAGAACTATCAGCCTGCATGTGGTTGAATCAACAGTTGTGTAAACTGAGTACTTACTATGATTAGTTTTATATTTGGATGTATATTTGGATGTATCTATTTTCAATTATATGAGTATTTATTTGTGAGTCCATCTCTTTAATTAGTAATTGAATTATGACATAGACAAATTATGAGCTATTTAGACCTTTGTCCAATTTTTCAGAAAAGATTTGTAAAAAGTAAAATTAATCTATTGCAATATTCACTTTTCTGTCCTTTGTCTGGTTTTACAAAGACAAATGTTTTGTTTATCTGATAAATATTTTCTGTTAATTTATAGGTTATGCAATAAACTCACAATGGACTTCAGTCCTGGGATAGTTATTGAGAATCTATTATGTAGTCAGCATTGTGCTGTGTGCATGTATATCTTTGTGTTACATAGTTAATAGCCATTATGATAATAAGTAGGCATGCTTTAATGGGCACAGAAGGAAGGAAGCATTTTCATGTATGGATAGGAAGCCAAAATATTAATTGCTCTTTTGGGGACCTTGGTTTACTGATGACTTCTCTCTTCTTAAATAATGTAGTCATAGCAGAAGAGGGGTTGATGTCTTTATTGCACAGTGTGCTCATGATTCTATCATCAGTTTCAGTAGGAGGAGTAACAGATAGGCAGGTACCCTTGGCATTCTCTTCTTCATTGGTTGTTAGCATTAGTACTTTAACTACAAACATATTCCAGGGTGTTATGGTCTGTACATTTGGGGACTGAAATAACTGACTGAATACACAGCTGCAGAGTTGGGAAAGAGCTGTGGCATCTTCATATCAGACCTTCTTTTCCATCTGCTTCTTTATTTGCCACTAGTCCACTATGAAAAGGTTTACATATCCCCAGAATATGCTTTTGTGCACACATCTTTATTAACCAATTGACATATTTTAATCCACAAATAGAACTTCCTTATGAAATTTCAATTATTGTTGAAATTTTTTGTGTGAAATGCCATGCTAAGAATATATAATTCAGTTTTCTAAAGCAAAATATATATGGATTAAGAGTCATCAAAGAGATTTGCTTCAGACATCATATAATTCCTCACTTATAGACTTCTAATATAGATTAATTTATAATATTGCTACAAGGTTCATATATTTCATATTCTACAGTAGAATAAGAAATGTACTATTCTTATTTTCAAAGATTCTCTGCAACCATATTTTCTGATTTGATATTGATTTGCTATGAGAATACTACCTATAAATTATTCACTATTATTGATTGGAAATTATAAGATTGTAATCTTATTGAGATAAACAAAGGAGTAATTTGTGCCTGTTAGTATTGGAGAAGATTAATCTGCTAGTCCTCTTAAAGTTATTTAATTGGATATGCTAATAGGAATGTTATCTACATTAAAAACAGATTAAGACACATGGCCATTGTTGTAAATGAGATTTTATCTTAAAGGGAGCACATCTAAATTTTGAAACAATAGTTGGATAGATTACTTTATATAACAATTTTGACTGAGTGTGTCACCTGTCTTGTGTATTTGGGTCTCTTGTTTGGAATCCTAGTACTATTGCTGTTTAATAAAAAATGTTCATGCCATCACATACATATCTTTCCACAGGATGTTTTAAAACCTGTAATCATTAACTACATTTCTCAATTTGGTTCAGTTTAACTTCGGTTTGTGTTTGCAGAGCGTCCTCTTCACTACACAGAGAATGTGTTGGAGCAGGTGCTTCAGTGGAGTTCATTAGCCGAACCCGGTTCTGCTTATCTTGTGGTGAAGAGATTCTTAAGCATTGACACAATTAAACACTGCAGAGGTAGGCACGCGTCCTTCACATTGCAGGGGTGGTTAAAAGTTCAAGTAGCTGAAGAGGAGTTATTAAGACACAAGTGGTGTCTGAAAATGGGGAAACGGGAATAGAAAAATACAGAAGCTGATTGCAGAGTATTGTGAAGAAGTTTAGTGTGTGTCACTGTGGCAGTAGCTGGCTCATCTGATGGTACACATTCATGTTCCTTAAGTAATGGATTGTGTTTCTAAGGGTCGTTTGTGCATATGCATGTTCTTGTTTTATTTTATGGTGTCTTCTTTAATTAGGTTGACATTCATTTCTGGCCATTTGATAACCACAAACATCTAGCCTCTGAGATTGAGTGTGTAGTATAAATCTCACTGTTCTTTTGATGATGTTTAGAAATAAAATAGGCACAAATGCAAGGACACAACATTTAACTGGAAGGACTGGAAAAACACTGCAATGTTCAATAAGAAGTCAGTTAGCTTAGCAAACCATAGAACATGGTCTCTCAACACATATGAGAAGTCAAAAGCTTGATCTTGAAACTTCTCTCTGATTGTGTTGTCATCCACTGACAATTTAGAACAACATTTCATCTGGGCTTATCCGTAAAGCAATCTTCAGAGCTGGGCATTAATATAAAGTTGTATGTTACTTTGATAAGTAATGTCAATAATAACCATTATTACTTACTATTCGTATACAATTAACCAGGCACTAGAGATACCATAGGTCATTTAAACTTCTATTTTATTTATCATTGAAGTATGGGTATGTTTGGCTCAAGTCCATCTATCATTTCACCTCCTTCAATGTCTCTCCTTTCTCATTTACCACTTATGGTAGTTTGAGTGAGAATTTTTTTTTTCTTTTGAATGCTTGGTCCCAGTTGATGAACTGTTTGGAAAGGATTATGTTGAGTAGCCTTGGAGGAGGTGTGTCACTGAGAGTAGGTTTTGAGGTTTCGAAAGCCCATGTCAGGCCAAGTCTCTCTCTGCCTGCTGCATATGTAGAATGTATATGCAGAATGTAGCTCAAAGATACTTACTTCTCCAACAACATGCCTGCCTGTCTGACACCATACTCCCTGCCATAATGATGATGGACTAGCCCTTTGCAACTGTAAGCAAGCCCCCAGTTATGTGCTTTCTTTTATAGCTGCCTTGATCATGGTGTCTCTTCACAGAAATTGAAAAGTAAGACAGTGCTTTTCCCTCCTAGCTTTATATGCTCTCCATCTGTCTGACTCTGTCTCTGTCTCTGTCTCTCTCTCTGTTAATACTCACTAAGTCCATTTAGTCTGTATGTACGTAGATATAGGACCATTTATTAAATCATAGGTGGCCTCTCAGGGCCTGCATCCCTGAAGAAAACCAGCTCTCCTCTGCCAGCAGTCATGACTTGCCAATAGCTACTTAGGCAGAGGTAGGACTTGATGAACTCCTCCCTCACTTGTACTGGGATTTTGTCTGGTTTGATCTTGTGTAATTATTCTGTCCCTGCCATTGTGAGCCCATGTGTGCAAATATGTTGTCACGTCCAGAAAACATTTGCTACTGACATCCGCTTATTTTCTTTCTGCTCCAGTCTACCACTGATCCCTGATCCCGGAGAAGAGGGAATGTGACATGACACTCTCATGTAGAGTTGCACCCTCCACAGATCTTAGTCTCTATGTTACAGCCACCTGTTGTTAGATCTCTGTGTTGATTGGCTTTACCGCAAAAAGAAGCTTCTCTGACGAGCGTTGAGAGATGCACTAGTCTGTGGGCATAAAGATAAGAACTCAAGTGCCATTTATTCCTATGTCCATTTAACATCATAATAGCACTAGGTTCAGCACTAGGGCCTTTTAAAAAAAAGTTTTTTAGAACTCCTTGTCAATTTTCATATTAATTTATTTTACAGGTGAAAATTAGAGAAAGTGATTTTTCTCACATCCCACAGTTAGTAAATGCTAGTTTTGAAAACAAATTGTTCTATTGTTTAATCATTTTAAAATTAAAATTATAAGGGGTGGTGGCAGAAGAGCTCTAAAATGTTGTGGATGTTCTCATTTGGATTGTAACCTCAAACTTGCTCATCAGTGAGTTAGTTCTTAGTTTCACCAAAATTTAATATGATAGTTTCTAATTTCATAGTACTGTCTTTTATACTTTATACTATCTCAAACTATTTTATCAAATACATTTTTTATTATCAATCACCTAAATAAACAAATATATACTATTTTTAGTATAGAAATGTGGCCTTTCACAAGCTCCACCTTTCTGTAGATCTCTTTACTACCCCCATGTTCAGTTTAATGACATCCTTCTCACATCTGATCATGCAAATGCACCAGGCATTCATGTCATAGACCATTGTTCTAAACTAGAGGAGGGTGTGCCCCCTAGGAACACGTGGGAATATCTATAGATCTTTGTGAGCATCACAACATGGGGAAGTGTGGGGAACTGGGAGTTCCTAATATTTAGATGTCAGGTTCTGCTAATGTTTCTGAAAAGCACAGAGCAGGTGTAGCTAGAGATTTCCTGCCTGGCCCACAGTCAGGACAAATCTCTGTCACCCGCCAGTCCCACAGCCACTCAGACCCGACCAAGTAAACACAGAGACTTATATTGGTTACAAACTGTATGGCTGTGGCAGGCTTCTTGCTAACTGTTCTTATAGCCATTAATCCATTTCTATTAATCTATACCTTGCCACATGGCTCATGGCTTACCAGCATCTTTACATGCTGTTTCTCATCATGGTGGCTGGCAGTGTCTCTCTGACTCAGCCTTCCACTTCCCAGCTTTATTCTCCTCCTTGTCCCGCCTACACTTCCTGCCTAGCCAATGGCCAATCAGTGTTTTATTTATTGACTAATCAGCAACACATTTGCCATACAGAACATCCCACAGCAAGCAGGTCTGTCTGTAGAGCTGATTTTCCAGAGCAAATGGCAGGGGTGCCAATTTAGACCCTGTCTGGAGTATCTATCTTTTAGTTGTTTGTATATCTTTCTTCTTAAACATGGAGTAAAGAAAATATGTTAGAAAATGCTTGGGTTAGCTTTAGCATTAAAAGCAAGCATTTGCAAGGCCATGCATTCTATTTCCAGTTCCACCCAAATATAAATATCAAATAAGAAGTGTTTTCCTTATGAACCATCTCCTTTTAATATCATGGCATATACCTGATCACTTCGTGTTTTACATAGAAATAAAATTTCTTTTGTATCTAGTGTTGTCCTTTCAATGATATTATTCTAATATTGTCTAATTATACACATCTAAAATTTTCACCTACGTACAATATCTTAGCTGTTGATTGACTCTTGTGTCATGACAATGTGGTTAAAAAATACAAGGCATTGAAACATAAAAGGTTATGACAGGAAATAAGCTTTTGAGCACATAGGGATGAGTCTCCCAAACAGGAATACCTTTAATGATTGTTCAATTGTGAAAAACAAAACAGGAAGATATGGATTTAGTTAATTAAGAGAAATGGGAGAAACTGTTGTGATCTACTCTTACAGCACTGGTAACAAACTGGGTATTGACTTAGTGCCCCAGATATTCCACAGTATTCTCCTGATGTATCTGAGTCAGTGCTTGTGTAAATGTCTCTGTATACATCCCCTGCTATCATTGCAGAACTCAAGCAGAGAAAAGACAGCATCCCTGAGGTGGCATTTTTTATTATCTAAAACAATTTTTTAATTTAAATATATTTTGATCTTATTCTTCTCCTCCCCTAAGTCTTTCAGGTCCTCTCCTCTGCTCTGCTCACCCAACTTTAAATTCTCTCAAAAAACAAACAAATCTGAATACAACAACAACCCTCCCAAACCAAGAAAACAAAATAAAACGCCACCACCACTCCCCTCAAAACTTATAGTAAACTGTGACCAAATAAAAGGATGGACACACACACACACACACACACACACACACACACACACACACACACACAAAAATAAATAAATAAATAAATAAATAAATAAAATAAAATAAAATAAAATAAAAATAAAAAAAAATAAAAACAACTGTGGTGTCCATTATATGTTGGTCAACTACTCTTGAACATGAGACCTGTCCTGGCTTGTTTAATAGATACACCCAGTGTCACTTCATTGAGGAAAAAGATATCCCCCTGCCAGCCAATACAGGTGACAGTTCAGTTATTAACTTTTACCACAGTAGCAAAGTGTTCATTAATTCATAATTTTTCCAGACAATTGGCTGAAATATTCTTTCACGGTACAATGTTACAAACTTTGGGGTTCGTCTTTTATTTCCTACACTCATCTTCTGAGTATGGAAGCCACAAAACAAGTCTCTACTTCTGTACTGTCCCTAGTTCATTTGTCAGTATGATTGCAGCTGTCCACGATTATACTGTGTGTAGCTCATTCTTCCAGGAATTAATATATATCCCACAAAGTGAGTGAGACCCTAGAAAAGTACCAGTAGTAAATATTCTGACTGAAGCATTTTCTGATAGTAGTAGTGGTCATTTTGAGCCCCAAATAGGAATTATAACCTGCTTAAAAACTTTAACTCTTTATTCCATAAATTTTCCATTAATGTTATAGAAGAGTTTGATTGATACTCAGATTGTAAAAGCAAAATAGGCTATTTTGTTATAGTTATTTTTACATGTATTACAAGTTGAGATTGTCTTTTTAAATTAGCTATCATATATATTTGAATGCCACACTGAAACTCCAGCTCCTGATTTAGATCATGTGGAAGGTGAGAAATAAATGTATAGAGAAATATAGTTGAGGATAATTAATTACAGTTCTTAAAGTATGACTCTGTGGCTTATAAGGAACCAAGCTGTACAATTTAATTTATGATGGCAGCATCTATGCCTCTCCAAAAAGTACATATCATGCATATCATAGTGGTAAAAAGTGTAGAGATTTATATATATATATATACATATATATGTATATATATATATGTATATATATATAATATTCTTATGTCATCTATGGCATTTTTTATCTGTATACTTTTTGATGTGATTGTTTTTAACATGCTAAAAGTAATACACATAAAAATTATCAGTGTCTTAAATAATGATTTTCACCAATGAGTATGTTTTTCTGTAATCTTAACTTTCTTAATGTCTTTTATATATTGTCATAGATTTTGGATGTGTTAAGTATTCCGTCTCATTTGTGTCTGCTAGCAAATGCATTTTTAGTCAGAGTAGCAGCCTATTCTAGAATTATTGTTCCATTTGTGATATCCATTACACCCTACAATTTGTATATAAAAAGTATAAGCATAGCTGATGTGATTTCACTAATAATTTATTAATAGAAAGCTTTCATTTAAGAAAAAAATCATTCTTAAAAGCAGTAAAGGAATGATATTAAAAATCTTTTTTCCCATTCCTAATATTTTAAAAATTCTAATGACCAAGCAGATAGCAGTGCTTTATGAACAAGAATTTGATGTGACCACATTTTCTCTAAGTAACAGAGAACTGCTCTTTTTAACATCTCATTAAAACAAAGTTGCCACAGTGTATGCTTAGCAAGTGTGAGAGTCTGGCTTCAGTCTACAGCAGTTTTAAGGGGTTGCACTAAAGCATCCTTTGCTGACTGTCTCCTCTTCCCTAAGTATTTGACCTATTTTTTTGTCACTGTCTATCTCTTCTGTAACGTTCATTCATTCCTAGATATGTATGCATTTGCCTTACATTTTATTGATTTGCTAGCAGGTTTTTTTCTCATGTGGAATAAGTATACGAATATGTTTGAAATCATGCTTCCATCGCTTCCTAAGTTTAGACCCTATTGTACAATATTTGCTCTGTTATAAGGATTTTAATATCCTCAGCTGTCCTACTTTACCCAAACCATTTAAAATGTAGATATCATAAGTAGGAATAGATTTTAGATCATGCAGCATTTAATTACTGCTCATTCATTTAAAGAAATGAGATAATGCAGTTTACTTTTATACATGGAATAAATAGTTCTTGTCATTACATAAAACTCAGCGTGTGTTTGTTCAGAAACAGCATTTCATTTCTGAGAATCATTTAGTGTCATGGGCATTGTTGTTATGAGTTAATTAACTTGAAAAGAAAGATAATAATAGTCCTTAGATTTCATTTCTCCCCTATGGGTTAAAAGTTGAAACACTGAGATAAAGAAAATAAAACGTCATTTAAGTTGCTATTTAGACTTTATCATAGCTACTATTCTAAGACTATCTTTTATTTCATTTCATTTGTACTGTTTCTATATCTGTATTACAGGTAAATTTTAAATTTATCCTTCTGTAAGCTTCCAGATTAAATAATTTTATATTGCTGAATCATATTTTAATAAAAATTATTTCAAATTGCCCCAATAAAATTTTACTCATAGAATCAAATCTTAATGATATGAACAGAGAAGAAATACTTTAAACATGTAACATGTAGCTCAACTGCAGATCTGTGTGTGTTTGTCGATTTATATTGCTGTATATGGCAGATGCTTTAGTTTCAATTCATCTTAAAACTAATCAGTCCAAGTCCAATAACTTTTGAAAAATTCACATTTGGACACTTAAAAACTTTACTGTTAGTAGACTTAAGCAAATCAAAGCAAAATTAGGAATATGAATCATAATATAGTTGAAATTATTTGTATTCCACTCTCCACGGAGTCTTGCTGTATCCACATATGTACAAAAGTTTGAGGGTTTGACCTAGTCCACTTCCAGGGGAAGTATTGTCTTGAAGATGTATGATAATGGTCCTTGTAGTTACTGTAGACTGTGAGTGTCCAGATATTTTCTGATAGACTAATTCTGTAGGGAGGAAACCAATTGGTAAGTTTGATTAGCTTTCTGTTTCATGCAGGAATCTATAACAGGAAATTTAAAGGATTGTTAAGCATCATCTTTACCCAGAGGGAAGAAAAAATCTAAATGTCCAAAACCTATTTAATATAGAACTACAAATATAGAGTGCATTGAATGACTATTGTGGGTCAAAATGCTCATGTAGTGCTTTCAAGCACATAAAATAGTCTCACTGTATCACCATTGACATCTACTCTAACAAGGAATATCTTCTAGTGGGGAAAATGTCATTCCCCTTTGCTTATTCTTGTCTCCACATAGAAAATAGAATTCTATGTTAGATGCTAGCATATCTAAATTCTAACTGTAGGTTTATTTATTTTAACTTGTCAGAGAACCATAGTATGCCACAACTTTCTCATTTATGAATTTGATAACATTATATCCACTTTTCTTTTTATATTAATTAAAATTTTTCATTTATTTTACATCCCAACTGCAGTTTTTCCTTCCTCCCCTCCTCCTGTTCCCTTCCCCTGTCTCCCCTCTGCCCCTCCCCATACACTCCTCCTTGTTTCTGTTTAGAAAGGAGCTTGAGACTCACAGGAGGTACAATATATAACACTTCCAAAATGCTAAAGGACTATTTATACCTTTATGCTTGTTAAGAGTGTGTTGAAAACTATATCCTGATTTAATATTAAAAAATGCATCTCTTACCATGCTAGGTATATTTTGGAAACAGTTTATTGTGATTCTGTAATAATAAACACAGCATAGAACAGTAATTACTTGCTTTCTGCAGTCATAACTTCTAGTATAAATTGGAAAAATCTCTCTGGTACAAATAGCCTAGCCACTTATATTACAGTACTGTTTTATTTATAATTTAGGTATTTATATATAATATCATTATAGAGTAATACCATTTCCAGGCAATTAGCAGGTAGGAGAATAGATTCTAGGCATGGCAGCATGTTCCTGCTGTCACAGGTCTTTAAGACTTATGCAGGAGTGTCATAGACTTCAGAACTGACTAGAAGAGTGAGACCTTGTCTCAAAATAATTCAAACATGATGTGAAACATATGCTTGTTTCTACCGCAGTGAGCATCTATGCCTTCAGAGCAGAAGTTCTGCCTCTGCTCTTATACACGTGATTCTCACCCCCTCCCAAGTCATCCCCTAAAAGTAACAGCCTAGGCAGGAAACCCCCAAAGAGAACTCTTTAAAAATTGTGGTAAGGATGCTGAACTGTAGCTCTTCACAGTTAAGGGCTTCTGGTAGGGGTACAGGTGGGGAAGTTTTTTTTTTTTTTTTTTTTTTTTTTTTTTTTTTTTTTTTTTTTTTTTTTTTTAAGGGGCTGGCTACTAGGAGTTTGGACATGCTCCAGTGAGTGAGTACATAGGCAACACAAGTTAGACTTGTTTATTTGTTTGTTTGTTTTCTTTGTCTTCTTTTTTTGGGGGGGATGGTCATAAGGGTGGAGATCAGATTTGGGAGGCCTGGAAAGTGCATGTGATCAGGATGCATGATGTAAAATTCCCAAATAGTCAATAAAAATACTATGTTGGGGGGGGAAGTGTTTTTCTAATTGTAAAGTAGTAGCTCAATAGAATGAGGGGAATGCATTTGTTTTCGTATCTGAAGTGCTAACCAAACAACTTTCACTAAGCTACAAATAGCCATGCTTGAGAGGCAGGGAAGGTCATCAGGTGTTGGGATTTGATTAGAGGAAAGCCAATACTAAATGAAGTAGTGCCTGTTAGTGTACGGTCTGGATCGTTCCGTGGGAGACTTAGTGTCTTGGAGAGTGCTTTGTCTCTTCAGACCTGTTGCACTAACAAAGGTGAGTTCGATGATTTCCCCAAGTTTACCGCTAAACAATTTCCTCCATTAGAGCAATTCTGTGGAAGAGCTCCTCTTTCCCAGTTGAAAGTAGGTGTGTAGTTAATACTTCTTTCTTTCCAAGTCCCTTTTCCCTGTTCCTCCTTCATGTAACACTTTCTGTACTTAGACATTTACAGAGCATCATGCCGCCCGTGTATTGATATCCTTGGTCACATTAACTGTGAAATCCAACTGCTGATTAGGTAAACAGAAGCCAATGAAAATTGAATAATTATCCAGTGAGGGGTGTGGTGACCCTGATCCTCTATGTATCATTAGAAACTTTACTGCCTGGGCATAAGTGATTAGCATCAAGGATCATTATGCTATGAAGGAATCTAAGGATCACAGACCTAGTCTAGAGGACCCACATTGGAAAAAAATATGAATGGGTGGATTTCATTTCACTATTGTGTTAGTATATTTTATTTAACATCATGTATTCAAAATATAATTATTTCAGCATGCAGCCAACATTTAGAAATATGATCTTGAGGCTATCACAGTGGCCCAGGAACTTAAACTCTCATCTCTAAACCTAAGGGTCCAAGTTTGATCTCTAGAATGCACACAAATAGGAGAGAACTGATTCTGAAAGTTTTCCTCTGACCTCCGTGTATGTTCCATGTCCCCAATATCAATAAATGTAAATTTTAAAAAAGAAATGACATTTTTCCTTTTTCAAACAAATGGTTAAGATTTTAAAATATATGAGACTAGAGAGATGCTTCTGTGGTTAAGAGCACTTACAACTTTTGGATTTCAGGTCCCAGCGCCCACAGTAGGCAGCTGACAGCCATCTGTAACTCCTGCTCTAGGAGTTCTAATGACCACTACTGGCCCCCAATGGCACCCATACTCATATGCCATACATTCAGACACATGCATGCGTAGGCACATGCACACAAATAAATAAAAATAAGTCTTTGAACAGTGAAAATACAAATGATTTATATTGTGTCCCCAATAAGTGAAAATGGACCCAATTTCCAGAAGTCTGTTCTGTCTTACAGAGAAAAGTATCAAAGAAGGTGCCTTAAAACTCAAAGAAGAGCCATCTAAAATACTATCAGGAAACAAATTTCAAGACCGATATGTTGTTTTGCGAGATGGACATCTCTTTCTTTACAAGGATCCAAAGGTAATTGAGTAAGTGGGATTTGAGCATGTGCGTTATTATTTTGTGTAGATATTTGTCTTTGTCTGACACTGGTCCTGGCCATCTCTCTTCAAAACAATGCTTGAAGTAAAGTGATGACTTCCTTCAGCTTCTGAGAAGTAACACCAAAACATTCAGAAACTTAGTCTAGAACTTCCTGTGGCTTTTCTGTGAACCTCAGGTTTTGTTGTTGTTGGAAGAAAATTACTTCATCACTGAAGAGACTTTAAGTGTGTTAACATAAACTATCGCATAAATCAGCATCATGGCTAGGAGTGTGTTATATTCTAAAGGCAAAAAGAGGCTTTGGGTGAGCTAGTGGAGATTTAATGAAGAGGAGTGTATGAAAGACAAAACTCAGATTCTATAACGAATGTTAACATCTTCCCTATACATTTAAATAAATTCACCACCATATCATATTTATTAGCCTCTATTCCCTGTAAAGTTTGAATTTATTAAAGAAATGTGAAGTGGCACGGAGAACTAGATATTATAAAAGCAGAGTTAGATAAATGATGTAGCTATAAAATGCTGAATTTGACATCAGAAAACCTCATCTCTGCTAAGAGTTACTGATTGAGTAAGTAACTTAATATCTCTGCCTCTCTTATGAATGTGATGATTATAATGTGATTCCTATAGAGCAATCACATTAATGTTTAAACAAGAGTATGTATGAGTATTTTTTGAAATATGAAACACTTGTAAATATATATCATCATAACAGTGTGCTTACAAAGATACCCATAAGAATAGGATTAGGTAAGTTGCAGAATGAACAAATATATTCAAAATATCTATGTCTGAAACAAAAAAGATTCATCTAGATTATTATGAGCCATTGCCGTATCAATGGGAAAGACATCCCAGTAGACATTTGATAATAGGGTTGAGCAGATAGTACATGAAGGAAGCTATAGAAATTACTCATGAGCCACTAAACCAAGTGTTCAACATCATTAGTCATCATTAGTATATCATTTCACAAACCAGTTGTTTTGATGAAAATCTTGAGTTACAACTCCAGTTTGGAGCAGGATGTACAGTAACTGGGGGTCTAATAAACATTTAGTGGAAAGGTAAAACCCCAGTATTATGTAGGACTCTTTAAGAGTTTCAAAATATTTATTCATCCACCTGCCAATTATAACCCCCAAGCACTTATAAATGAATGTTCTTTGGCAGCTTCATTCACAGATGTGTCCATAAATAGGAGAATAATATATTCATCAATAGAATACTCCTTATGAGATTTCTAGTAGATGTCATAACATGGATGAACAACAAAAGCACAGCAATCAGTATAGAACCATATGCCAAATCATTCTGTCCACTCTAAGGGGAAAGAACTGACAAAGGGTCTGCTTGGCCTGGGGAGAAGAATAGCCATAGACTTCCCAGGGGGCAGGAAGAAGATGGAGTAGTAGCTAGGGAGAAGCATTGTCCATCTCCTCATTCCACCTGACACACTCAAAAGGGAGCCTGACTGAGTATCACATGGTTGCTCTTTGGTGCTGTGATTCTATTCTCTCTGCAGAAGAAAACTACGCTTTTTAGAAATAAACCACCTACATGTTTTGCGTTATGTGAACAGATTTTAAGGTTCTTGAACCTTAGATTTGCACTTGTGAAAATCAAATCTAAACTTTACAGTTGACTATTTTAGTGATCTAAAATATAACTTGGTTAACCTTGTCTACTTTTCCATAATGAGCCATCCACCTTGTTCTGATCTACTTGATCATTGATCTTTTATACTTGTAACATGTCGGTGAAGTGTTGTGTTTTCAATTAGATATCACCCTAGGGCTTTTAATAATCAAATTGAATATTTTTGTCCATTCAAGGCCCAGACTCTTTCTACTATATACCAACAGAAGGCCCATAAAACAATTTATCTTTTAATATTAATTTCATGAAGGAACAGCAATGTGGCCACACTATCCCAAAATAACAATAGTGTGGCTATTGCATGGCAGCAGAATATGTGGATTGGCTGGCTTCATGGCATTTTCTAAAAGTCACCTGGAATAGGGACTGTTACTATTCCTTCTTGATACATGAAGAAATTGAGCCACAAAGACTTTACATAAATGTCCAGAAAATTTATATCCAATAAGCAATGTAGACAGAATCCATTCCTCCCAGATGTCAGATTGCAAAAGCTCTATGAAAGTATTACCTAAGGACAATTAATTAATATTACTGTAGCTCGATATTTTGGCTGACAATTTATTTGAAGATGATTTGACATTTTCATCCAGATATTACCAAGTGTGCTTAAATGTGGTTATGCAGGGGTTGGAGAGAGGGCTTAACAGCTAAGAGCACTGATGACTTTTACATTTGACCGAGATTTTATTCCCAGCACCAACGTGGAAGTTCACAAACACCTGTATCTCCAGTTCTAGGGGATCAGACACCCTCATCTGGTGTAGGTTGGTGCCAGGCACTCACGTGGTAGACAGACATACATGTAGGGTCATCTGCAATATCTCATAAGCACTCAGGATTTCAAACCATAAGGACCACAGTTATAGAATATAGTCTGATGTTTAAAATCCATTTATACCACCAAAATAAATCCATCCAGCTCATGCCTTGTCATCAAGGACAGCAGATGAGATTCTTTTCTCTAAACCCAAACTGCTATTGTTTTCACCCCATGATTTTATTTTGCTCCTTATTTTTTTCATACCATAGGCCTGGTAATATTGATTATTATGCCATTGCCAATGCTAACTTTTCAAATGATTTCACATTAAATAATCAATAGCAAAATCCTTATATTTATTTGAATAAAGATTTGGCTCTGGGACAGCTTTCACTAATGTATGTGCCCTGTATACCATTTGGAAAATTATTTCCTGAGAAGGAAGTAGAAATTATAAACTGAGAAGTATATTTAAAGCAACTGTTAATTAGAAATAATTTATGAATGTTCATTAACAACAAATTAGGGTAATACACAAGGGAAGATAGATTTTGTTTTCACAGATTTTCCAAGCACAGAAAATGTTAATTAAAATATGTTCAGAACTGATTTCCATAAAAGGTGAGAGGTTTCAAAGAATATTGCCATTAGACTGTTAATGGTGTGAAAAACTGAGTAAGAAAAGGTAGAAAGGCAAATGAGTAAGGGGGGTGTCCTTAACAGTTGCCTCAACTAATAAGAAGACTCCGTTTAGCCTCAGGAATAATTTTGAAGCTCACTTATTTAATTGACTTAGTTAATGACTTCACTTTGAAATGTAGTAACTCAAGCAACACATTGTAGATTTCATAAAAGTTTAGTTTGTTGAATTTTTGGAGGCATTCACCAGGAATTAGGCAAACGAGAGAGAGAGAGAGAGAGAGAGAGAGAGAGAGAGAGAGAGAGAGAGAGAGAGAGAGAAAGAGAAAGAGAAAGAGAGAAAGGGAGAGAGAGAGATGCCAACTGAGATTTGCATTTATAGAACTTTCCATTGGGACTTTTACAGTTCCTTGTTATGCATGTTCAGTTATAATGTCAAAATGCACAAGAGATTTCTTTTCCTTGCTTCGGAGTTGCCTCTCTACTTGTGACTTTAGGGTGGTATGAAGTGATAAACTCGCATACCAGGAGTTTTGTGGGGAATTTCATTACTTTATACTCTTTATCTGCAAGCAGAAAGTCTTTGAAATGCAAGCAGTATTGGGCTTACCAATATCCTGGACGTGTAAAGACCAGCAACATTGGGCATGGGGATTCTAAGACATGCAAATGCCCTCATTCCTATGGCATTAGGATTGCTGCCTTTCACTCTACTTTGTAGCAAGCATGGTATTGTGTAACAGGCATTAGCCAACTAATCTGCTGGGGAGGATGTTAGCCTCAGTTGCAGTATGATTTAACCTCCTACAAAGGTAACCAGGAATCACCTTATAGCATGAAGGCTTAATGGCCAGCTTCTTCAGTAAAGCCTATAGAGGGTTCCATAACTGCCATACCTCATGATCACACAAAAGACTTACAATTTTTAAAAAAATGTTTGCTCCTTGAAATTCAACAAGTTAGCAAGTCATAAGATCAATATAAAAAAAATCAATCCTCAATTGGATTTAGAAGAGAAAATATGTCAAGTATTTTTAAAGGCCCTTAACAAGAAATAGGAGCTAAAAAGGAAACTATAGAACTTCCCTGATAAAAACTGATTTAACCTCACTGATATTGATTTCTAACTCTATTGTAATTCTCAAATGTTCAGAGTTATATTTTTAGAACTGTGTGAAAAATAATAGTTTACCTCCAAAGGAAAATAGATAAGGAAACTAGCAAATACTTTTGTTGATAAAAAAATGAAATAGTCTTGAAGTATTTTTCTACTATTAATATGTGCAATACGTCAGAGAAACCTCAAATAATACAACTCAAAATAAAAGTGAGCATAGAGGAATGACACTGTAAAGTCCAGGAAAAGAATTATTTATCCAGATTTAATTTTTAAAACTATGTCATAAAAATTGCATGTATTAACTGTGAACCTTTGTTAAATAAATTGGAATGAATTAATTATCTAATTTAAATTTTCACTTATATTGAAATCTAGAATATTTCAGGTTGATAAAATAATTGAATATTTTAAAATAGCAACCATCAAAATTCACAAGACCAAGAAAACAAGTCAACTGTACTGGAATATCTTGAATTAACAAATGTTAAGGATGACTAAACGCGGTGTTGTGGTCCATTTTTGTAATCATAGCACTTGAGAAATGGAAGCATATGGATATGGTTATACTCAGCTACGTAGTGAGTTTGGAGTTTGAATTCACCTGAGAGCTTTACTGAAAAAAACAAAAAAAAACCAGTTTGCTTGACCTCATAAAAGAGCAAAATTAAGGCAAACAGCAACTGAAATTGAACATTCTATTTAAAAGAGACCTTATTTTCACATCAATATTTTAAGTGCTAATAAAAAGAAATAAGCAAAGACAAGGATGTACATTGTTTGAGATCAAAGTTTTGTCTTTGATTAGTAAAAACAACTTATTCATAGTCTGTGCTTCTGTTACTGTTCCTGACCCATAATGGCCAATTAATTAATGAAATGTGCCTGCATATGTCTTCAATGATAATGAGAAACAGTGCTAATAGTATGTAGATGGAAGTTCCCTATGTAAATTGTAGGGCTCAGTCACTGTCAGAGGCCACTTGTCAGCAAGGCATTGAGTTCTTGCTTCCCTCTTTGTTACTTTTCCTATAAGTATCTCCTCTGAGTTCTCCTGAAATCAGCTTTTAATTTTATAAACATAGCCATAACTCCCACCTTTTACTTTGCAAGTTTGATTGGTGATAAATAAAGGCCATCACAGTGACACTTTAATATATAACACATAGTCGAGCTAGGCATTTGAGATTTGATGCATTTCCTTGCATCCTAGCAAATCGCTGTACTGGAATTTGCCCAAGTCTATATGTTCTATGTTTACGGAAGTAGCTACTTCCTGTGAGTTCATTTTATGCCAATCCCTAGAATAAGCTTGATAGGCATTTTTGTTGTTATTGAACCATTACAATAACCTCTCACAATAACACTCTGGTTACACATTCACTTTTCTCCCTACACAATCCAGATGGTGAGTAATTTTATTTTCTCAACTTACAAAGGGAAATAGTGCAAAATCACAAAACTACAAGAAGCAAAACAGATCTATACTAGGTCTCTCTGACCTCAAACTCCTTGTTCTTATTCATGAATCCTATCTTCCTATCAGTTTAAAACCATTTCTTCGAGAATTTTTAGAATATGGAGAATGGTTCATGATAAATTATTTCAATAGTTATTATTTTTATAAAAATTTAAAATTTTTATAAAATTATTTTTATGAAAGTGTTGGTATCCATGGAGTAGGATATATATGATTTTTAAATCAAGTTTAAATTAGAACGTGATACAATCTTAGCCCTGCCAAACAAATGACATGTGAAAAATATATGTAAGCAGCCATGGGGTTCTTTTTTTTTATTTTAAAAATATTTTTTTTATTTAAAATTTTTATATATTATTTTGATTATATTTTTCCTCTCCACTTCCTACTGACCCAACTTCATGTTCATTTCTCTCTCACTAAATAAATAAATAAACCCAGAAAAATAACATGCAAAGAAAGCCCTAAATTAAACAGAAAAGCTCACTTAAAAGTGGGGAGGGGGCCAGGTGGCAGTGGCACACACCTTTAATCCTAGCATTCAGGAAGCAGAGCCACGTGGATCTCTGAGTTCGAGGCCAGCCTGGTCTACAGAGCGAGATCCAGGACAGGCACCAAAACTACACAGAGAAACCCTGTCTCGGGGGAAAAAAAAAAAAAAGTGGGGAGGGGATGAAAAACCTCTAGAGGAAAAAAGAAAACAAAAATAAGATAATCCTTGGAAAAAATGATATCCCTTTCCCAGCAGGTATCATTTGCAAATAGATTTTTGGTTAGAGGTTGGCCCCTGTGTCTGAAGGCTAGGCGTTTGTGTGGTTTGTACCTATGCAGGTCTCCTTTGTGCTGCCCCAGTCTGGGAGTGCATGCCTGCATCCATCCTGTTGGATCTAGAAGATGCTGTTCCCTTCGGTCCTCCACTACTTCTCGCTTTTGCTATCACTCCTCTTCTACAAGCAACATTTAGCATCCTTTGGTCACTTACTGAAGCACAGATACTTACTTTCAATAGGGTGTGGAGAACATGTCAATGATCCAGAGAAATCATAAATTCCTTTCAGAATGTATTTTAACAAGTCATTCTTGATCATTTTCTTCAATGTAACTACTTAGAATCATTTAATATGAGCCTGTGAGTGCACATGGTCTGTTTTCCCTAATTGTAAAATCCATAATTTATAAAATTCTTTTTTATTCAGTGATAAAATCTTAACCAAGGCAATCTGACATCTAGACAGATATTTGTACCAATTATGATGTTATACAGTTTCTACTTAAATTTATTTATTTGATCACATTACAATCAAATCAGTCTCTGTTTGCTAAGCCTTGTAGTATGGTCACAAATGTGGGACAAAATAAAGAATTCTGAATGTATTTATTAATTTCTACAGAAATGTTAAGAATATGTAAAATCTACTTAATTCCAGGTTATATTTCTTCCCTTTCAGAGCAGCAAGCATGAGAAGATGTTTTCTCTCAACTTGATGAAGTTTTATCTTGGTGTGAAGAAGAAAATGAAGCCCCCAACCAGGTAAAGAAAGGGGTAAGAGGGAAGCAAAACAAAACAGGAAATAAGTCTGTTGGAGGGCTTAGGCATAAGTGGCATTAGTTTAACACCTGTAAATCCTGAATCTTTCATCTGTCCCTGGGATCCTTGGGTGGACTGAGTGGCTTTGTGAGTATATGAGAGAGGGGATATTCCCACTGCCAGAAAAGGTTAAGCTCCTTCCAGACTGCCCTCTGCCTTGGATGAGTCAGGAAATCCTCAGGAGAAGTCAGCAACTTCCAGAACAGGATTGCTTGGCCTCCCACTCCTTGAGAGCACACAGCAGTGTCTGGGGTATAAGGAGGAATGCTCCAAACCCACTAAATAAAAGAGATCTCACACTGCCCGTCCAGCTTTCTGAGACTTCACATTTAGAGTGTTCTGATCCTGGCTCTGTAATTTTTCTTAGCTCCTCAAACATGGACCCTCTTAAATATTGCCTCCTTTAATATTTGATGAACACAGCATTCATTTATACTGTAATTTGTTATCACAGACACTTTGATTATCTATGTAATACTATTATATTATTCCAGAAAACTCTTTAATGACCTGTGGTTCTCAGATTCCATTACTGAAATTTTTTCTTACTTTTCCCTCCATAATTAATTATTAAGCTTAAGACATATATATGTATTACACATGCACACATACACACACCTGACTTCAGCTATTTGCATAGATATTTGTCCTTAATATCTTCATCATATATGTGTTGCTATTAAAAATACCTGAGACAGACTACTTAATGACAACACAAAATTTGTTAGTGAACCAAATAAAAGCATTAAAGATTAAGTTTCAGAGGCTCAAGGTTATGGTACCTTATTGGCTGAGTTCTGTTAATGGGCCTTCTCTGGATGTCTCACATCATGACTTATGACAATGGCGGGGGTGTGTTTAACATATTGTTTGTGTTTCTCTGATGCAGTTGGGGATTGACCGCATATTCTGAAAAACACCATTGGTAAGTTAACTGGCAACTTTTTGATTTTATAGAATATTGACAACTTTGAGTAAAGAATGACATCATGGCATAGGCAGAACTACAGATAAAGAAAAGGAAATAAACTTGTATTCAGTTCAGTTAAATATAATCTCACATACTTGCCAATGTCTCTTTCAAGAAACTACATTGGATTTCTTTCATAGACTGTAGATAGTATTGGAATCTAGCTTTTAGGAAATAAATAGACAAAGTTAAGGTTCGCATTTTTTTTAAGATAAAACCTAAGTTGAAACTTTAAAAAAAAAAAATCCATAGCCTGTTTTCAAACCTGTTTTCTCCTTGTGTTTTTTCCCGTTGTCTCCCTTCTCCTGCTTGTCTCCCAGATCATATCGAAAGCCTTCTCCTCCTTAACCTTCTGTATCTAGCTAGTCCCCAGGTTGTGTTAGGTTGGACACTTCCTCGTCCCTTCTTCAACCCACTCCTAGGGGCCAGAGCTTCTTAATCTGCCTGGTTTATGGGAAGTACATTTACTCTTACACTTGGGACTCTGCTTTTCTACCGTGCTCTCTACTCAAACACTGCTGATGTCTCTCAAGTGACCACATAAGATGATTTCCCATTTGCCTGGAGATGAAAAAAGACAATGTCTTAACAAGACTAATGAAAAAGAAAACAAGCTTTAGAAATGTCTTTTTTTTTTTTTTTTATGTTTTGGTTGAGAGCCTAGCCTTTAATGGCTGAGTCATCTCTTCACACCTGTCCTTAGTGCATGAGCTGGCTTTCTGGAACCTAGGGCCTATGCTGAGACATTTTGCTCAGCCTTGGTGTAGGGAGGAGGGGACTGGACCCGTCTCAACTGAGTCTACCAGGCCATGCTCAATCCCCAGGGGAGACCTTGCCTTGGAGGAGGTGGGAATGGGAGGAGGATTGAAGGGAAGGCTGCGGGGGCGTAGGAGGAGGATGGACAGGGGAATCCGTGGCTGATATGTAAAATTAAATTAATTATAAAAAAAAACGAAATGTCTTTTTTTTCCAATTTTTTTCAAATTAGTTGTTTTTACTTATTATTTATAAGTCCAAGAATATGAAGAGTATAAGTTCATTGAAATGTCCATTACTTCATTCTAATATCAGGTACAAGATCTACCTCTTTAAAACCGAACTCTTCTCATCCCCTCCAGACTCCGTGTACCTGCATCTGCTATTTCTGTGTTTTTCTACAGCAGGTCTCTTGGCTCTCTTACTGTGCTATTTATTTGTTTGCATGGCCAGCTTCCCTATTGTCCTGTGCAAAGCTTGAGAGCAAGAGCTGCTTTATTTAGGGTTTTAGTAAAACATTACTGAGTGACTGCCAACAGACCCATAGTGATATTTATCTGACGAGACCTTGTCTAAGCCCTTTGAAAAAAAAGTCTCCACTCCATGAATGCACACATATGTTCCAATCTAAGTCTCTGGAGAAAAGTTGTGTTACTGCCATATGCATGAAATCACCAAATGACACTGACTTTGCCTTCCCAAAATATTGCTGATCATTGGCCTTGGGCCAATTTGAGGTTTACTTCCCAGAAGATTGAAACCACTTCTACTAACATAGTCTGAGTTTGATTTCATTAAACCATAAGTTTGGAAGAGTTCAGAAATGTTTCTGACTATTAATATTACTGCCCACAGTGTGGAAGAGCAACTGTCTTTTACAAGTATTTATTATATAAACATTGTTTTGTAGGCACTTGTGTTGTGACAGTTTACAAGCCCAGATGGAGTGGATGGCCAGTATCTTTATTGCTCAGGTATGATATCTGTTATAAGCATCTAATTTACTGTTTAAAGGAAATGCTAACATGCTTGTAATTTTCATTGAATTTTTGTTTGTAGTGTACACAATTGGCACACTTTCACATATATGGAAATCCAAATTTTCCATTGCTCTTTGAAAGTGGAGATTATGGTGACTGTCTAGCCTTCTTGTTCCCACCAGCACAGCAGCCCTTAAGCTTAGGGAGAAGTGCTGGTCCAGATAATAGCCTTGCCTGGGTTCTCACTTCTCTGCAATAGCATGCAGATCTTCATACAGAAGTGTATGCTCTGTCTTCTCCTCTCATCCTTCCTCCTGTGTCGTTGCAGAAGGAAGGCTAGAAAGTACATTTCTTTGATACCTCATCTATGGTAAATACTTTGTAAGAATCAAGTTTTGTAACCTTTAGGATGCACAGTAGAGCCTGAGTTTTCTTGAAACTGTTCATTAACATAGTGCACACTTCTCAGTTCACTGAGACCCATAGACCCAGCTTCACACTCAGTCTTCCACTTGAAGACAAGTTCTTTTGACAAAGGGTTAATAAGCCTATTAATTGAATTTTTCAACCTTTTCTAGCTGAATTAGCAATACTGCTTCTCACAGAGCATTGGAATTCATGGCTAATGAATAAGTTGTCACTATTGCTGTTCAGATCTGTTCATATTTCTTACAATGAAAACGTTAACTCACTCCCTCACTCCCAAATCTAGACCTTATTTGTTTTGAAAAGCATTTCTCTGTGATTTAGTTTCCTAATTTTCCACAGATGAATCTAGATGCCACTTTTAACCTCTTTCACTTTATCAGCAGTCTCTTGCTCTGTAATGCATTGTAGGGAGGAAAAAAAATGGTGAATTGCTAACATTTGAGTCCTTTCTTCATTTTGAAAAATCAGATACCCATACTGTACTTAAAAACCAAAACTCTAGACATGAAGTGCTTTGTTTATAGTTGGGAGCATACGGTCAAAAGCTACTACAATATCTGTTTACAACTCAATTAAACTGATGTTTTTGTTTTCAGATTTGGAGTCAATAGACCTTCATGTTGACAGTCAGGGAATGAACAGCACTTCTCCATTGTAGCACTAATTAAAAGCATATGTATAATTAGTTGTTTTGTTTGTGCCTTTTCTGCTATAGTGTAAACTCAGTACGAACGACTCTTCCTTATTTGGCTCTCATGTATATCTGCCTCCTTGGAGCCTATTGTGCTTCCCAAAATATGTACTGAGTGTTTCTAAAATATGAAAACAATGACTAAAATAAACAGGTAATTGGATCAGAGCTGAAATGAAAAGTGTGATAAAATGAAGCAAATGTCAGGAATTGGGAAAGGAGGTGGAATACATGAGGTAAGGGAGGACACAGTTTAAGAGTAGTTCTCAGGGAATGGATTTCTGAGAAGGTGATAGGTGAGCTGAAGTCTGTGTAAAGTGGGGAGAGGGATGTTCCAGGTATTCGAGGGTGGGGTTCTGTGGATAGGACCCACAGCTTCAAGACTTGAGGTGGCACCACAATTCATTCATTTCCCAAGTATCCTAAAGCTCTCACTGGGAAGACAGGAGACAAGGTATGAGAGCCCTGTTGAGAGCTTGGAACAAGGAAGGATATAACTGTAGTGTTTTTATTGGAAAACAATTATCGAGACAGCACTATAGAGTCAAAGAAGGAAGCAGGAAGAACAGCTGTGTGGCAGATGTTTGCCCAGGCTTGGGCAGAGGCAATGTACAGAACAGAAAGACTGAGGAATATTTTTGAGATAAAATGAAGGGGTTTTTTTTGTTGTTGTTTTTAAATTCATGGGCTATTTAGTTTGAAAGAAAGAGTAGAAATTAAAGAAGACCCCGATCCTTGTGTTTGTTTGTAACAAGACTTTTATTTCTTCTGTTGAAGTAGGCTTTATTGTTTTTTTCATTTTCATTTGAGTTTCTTTGTAAAGCATATATCTGAAGCCAACTTTCCATTTTCTGAGATGTCGGTTTTTATACTAAAAATAAGTACAAGGATACCATGTCCATGAAATTGGCTTCTCTTTGCTGTATGTCCATAGAGAGGTCTGTCTACCTTCTATTAAGTTCACTGGAGAGCCTCCTAGTGGGTCAGAATAGCTCATTCTTTAAGTACAATATCAGTAAATTACAATTTTGTTATATTTTAAAGTCTGAATACTTCATGGTTTCAGTTTCAATAATTACGAAAATTTGCTACATTTGGAATAGTGATATTATAGGTTCATATTTTTAAGTAAGTGAAATTTTAACACTTCCTACAAACCTTGAGGGTGTAAATAAACACAAGATTTGTTGTGCCTTTTGCAGATAACCTGTTTTTCAGTGTGTGTTTCTTGTGTTTTTTTTTCTCTTTTTTTAATCTTTATTTAAAATAATGTTAAGGACCTAGGCAATTGATGATTGTACAGAATGTTACCAGAGCTATAGAAGGAAACCAAGAGTTCTGTTAGATCTATGAAGTACACAAGTGAACATGCTGAGTTGTAAATCTGACTCTAAAAATTCAGGCAAAAGTTTGAGGTTAAAATGTGTATGTGGGACAAGTTGGCATTTGGATTGCACTGAATGCTGTAGAAGTGCATGGGATGTTAAAAAAAAAAAAAACAGGCAGAAACAGAGCTGTCTAGTAACACTAGGGTGTTCTATATTTTGAGGTCAAGCAGACTTGAAAAAATAGAAGATGTAAGAAGGAATGGCAAGAGAAAACACAGGTAGAGATAATGAGTTTGTGACTAGTGTGATTAGTTAGGGATATGAGGGCCAACATAGATTTCGTGGTTTCAATTGGATTGACTGTAAGACAGGATAGCATATATTTTTTCCAAATATGCCAACGGAGATAACCCAGGCCATGGCCAGACACAAGGAAGCACTGTTGTTCATCATTGCTTGAAGTCATTATACATCAGAGAGAGTTGTAGACTTTTCTTTTCCTCAGATGATTGGCTGCAGCCTACTGCGCCATTTAAGATATCATGGAGAACAGTTGCTTGCAATCAGAACAATTGCTGATAGCAAAGAAAAAGGAAAACTCAGTTACATGGCTATGGATATAGGGAAATTAGTATATCTTACTATGTAAAATTATGTATTTAAGTGATTAGTGATTTAGATCAGTGGGTTAAGCACTTGTGAGGCAGGAAAGGCTGTTAGAAGTTCTAGGATGAAGGAGTAAGTGAGAAATAATACTCAAATAATGAGGAAACAAGTTGTCCTATGGCAGTTTGCTAATCTCTATTAAGTTTAAAGTTAACTTTAAAGTGAAATGGATCTACAGAAAAGTCCTCTGTATTTTTAATCCACCAATTAGTAGGTTATATTGAAACAGGCAAATTATAATGAAGTCCAGGGCCTCAAAAAAAATGTAATAGAAGGAAAAGAAGCACAGGTCTTGAGGAGAATTATAAGGAAGTAAATTTACTAATTCACCATGAAACCTAAGCCAGGGTTTGAAGAACAGGAAAAAGGAAAACTTAGAAGAATGATGAGGGTAAATAGCTTCAAGATTCAAAAGTCAAAAAAAAAAATCTACAGTGGGTGAAATGAAGTCAGCAGAAAAGATAAAAAGGACTAGGTAAGAAAGTGAGAGGCAGAATTGGAGATTGGCAGTGTGATCATCAACCATGATGTCCATAGTACAATCCCCAGTTAGATAACCCCTGTTATATGACTTCTGAGATCACTTACCAATAGCTTATAAATGGTAAGTGAAAACACTCACTTAGACCTCAAACACCTCACTTATAACCTTGTACACCATATATATAAAACATATCCATTTATCTCAAGAATTTATTTGCAAGCCTAATTTACAAAAATTCCTGAGTCCCTGCTCAGCCTGTTTTCTCTTGACTTCACTTGTTGAGAATATCCCAGTTATAAAACATCAGAGGTACTTTAACTGTGTTTGGAACTTTTTCATTGATTAAATGTTATGTAATCTATCATTACAGCTTTTATTAATTGAGATAAATCCTTCCATAATTTCAAGGGATATTTATCAAGTCTGATAATAACTGCACTTTTACTGTAGAATTCTTGAGGATTAAATAAATGTATGTATATTAGTAAAAACAAAATATGCCCCTCATTATAAATTATCAGTACATTATAGTCACAGGATCAATACTTCTGGAAATGAATTATTTGCAATAAAACAATATATTAAAATACTAACTACCCATAAAATTTTGCTGATGTATCTTAAAATTTGAACAAAATGAAGAGTGGTGTTTTAGTTACATATCATTACCATTTGTTTTTATTTCATCCAACATCTGTGAACTCATTTTAGTTTGGTATTCACTGTTTGTTTCTTTGATAGATTGCTGTCTGAAAATCAATTTGCCTTTCCCTACTTCTAAAATGTTAATCTACCCTAGGAAATCGAATTCTTTAAATAACTTTTATATATGTGTATTCCGAGGATTAAGCACTTAGGGCTTACATTTTTACCTGTGGGCACTTATCCCCCATTGCAAAATTAAGTTGTTGTTTTTTTTTCTGGGCATGGCTATGATGGTTTGGTAGACTAGAATTCAGCCAATAATTGAGGAAAAATGCACCACTCTTCCTGTTATAGAGTGATTTTCACTATAAATGTGTGTGTAAAAGGGTAACATTTCTTTGAAATTAAATTAGATGAAAAAGTTTTATTTTTCAAAAGGTCACAAAATAGGGCTAATTTTTTTTCAGATATCCATGCCTTCAGTCAATTTGGAATATATATATAAGATTAAATTATTTTCATATTAAAAATCACCTTGGATATAAGCAAGAAATGAATGTTTAGTTACTATGATTACAGAGCCTAGAAAATATAGACAAGTCCATTATTTTTATTTTACAGAGAGACTTGCCATTTTCCTCCAATATTTTCTACCATTTGGTTTGATAAGTAGTACAGAAGGCATGTGTTTCACACTTAGAAATTGAACTGAGACCTCAAAGCTCTGTTCACTTAAGAGTTTCACATCCTGGAGCCATGTGCCTGCCAGAGTCAATGTCTAAGTAATTACAAATGGCATTCTCACAGAAAGTAGCTTATTTGGTGTGGATATGTGGGGGAACCAAGTGACTAATGTGGTGTAGCGCATAATGAAATCACACACCAATGGCACTAAACTGTTTTTCCCGCAGCATGAGAATGATATATGGCCACCAGCTGGAAAAGAAAGAAAACGTTCAATAACCAAGAATCCCAAGATTGGGGGTTTACCTCTGATTCCCATCCAACATGAGAGGAATGCAACCCTGGCCCGGAAGAATATTGAGGTTGGTTATGATTTCGTTGTTCTTATGGTAACCTCCACCATTTATTTTCCTACCACTTAACATGGCTGAGTAAATCAATTACCTCACTGGCTTCAGCTGCATAGCAGTAATCACTTCGAACAGCTCAATAATGTCCATAATACATGAAGAAAACCGTGACTGTAACCCTCTGCCACTTATGTGAGTACCATTGACCACATGTTACATATCCATGACACCATTCATAGTCTCTCAAGGAGCCAAGTAATTTTACGTATTTATCTAGACACCCTGGTTCCTAAGCCGACCTCAAATCAATTTCACAAGGTTACTCATAATGTCCTCTGAGTGAATATGGAGTAAAAAAAAAAATGCCCAGATCATGTCAAAGATACCCACCTCTAGTGTCACAATCACAATCCAGGCTTGGAAACCTGAGAGATTTTAGAGTAACCACAAGATTCCCTTTGAATATTAATATTAGTGATTTCACATTTTTCAAAAAAGTGACTTTTTTTTTCCTTTGCCATCAATTGTGACATGAAGTTCAGTCTCTTGGGAAAGAACATGGTTGCTTACTCTCAAAACTCACTTTGGAATGACCCTAGGCATAGTTAGGCATAGTACCTTAACTGAATTTTTCAAAGACAAAAATTAAGAAAAAAAATAAAACCTACGTAAAAGATGATATAGATTACATATTCTTTGGACTTTGATTTGGGCTAAGCTGTTAGAATCATTCTTTGTAAACACTGTAGTGAGCATATCCTATACAACATTTTTCTTGTGTTGGAGTGTACTTGAATATTGGCCTACATGATATTGCCTAACTGATGTAATAAGAGGAAAAGTTGTCTCTAAGAATCTATGACTGCACCTCTGTCCATTCTGCCCCTACAGCTTTTGACAGGAGCCCACTTTGCAGGTCTTTGGATACCTTAGTCAATCAAGAATTTTAAAATTCCAAAGTTGTTTCTCATAGGCACTTGGGCCAGGGAATCACAGCTTGATCCAATGAATCTAGTACAGAGTGAACATTTGCCTTTCAGTGACCACAGTGTCTCCTAACACTGCCTGTGACCAATAGAGGAACAAACAAAAGATGAAATTTTAAGACAAAAATACATTAACCAGTATCAATTATAGATAAATAAATCTACAACATATTTCCTAATCCCAAAATCACAATTTTAAGTATGATTTTTAACATGCCTAAGATAAAAAAAACCAAACAAAACAAACAACAACAACAAACCAGATGAACTAAAACTGGGGAGAAGTGTTAAAGGCTCTTATAATGATTCTAAGAAATATTAATTGCTAGAAAATATATGAGTAATTAAAATAAACCAAACATTTTTTGTAAAGATAATATCATTCAGTAAATTTGGCAAAGGGATCTTTTAAATGTTCCAATGCTTTAAAAATACTAAAACTGACTTTAAATGGTATAAAAGCAACAGTAATTAAAAATAAAGTTTTTCATAGGAATAATTAAGAATTTTACTGTAGAATTAGAGTAACTTAATTACATAAGAGAATATAATTATAAAATGCCTAAACATTTCTTACTTTTGGTTTAAAAATGAAAACAATTTAAATTTACCATGTAGGATGTATTGCTGAGAAATAATGCAATCATACCATTACACATGTTCAGGAATCATTGCTTTTCAAAGTAGTTGGCATTCTGAGATATGCTGACTTGATTTTTTTATGTTTTCTTGGAAGCTGTTTGAGTGCCTGATTCAGGCAGGGAAGACTTCCAGGAGATTTCTAACATTTAATTGGCAAATTAGTGGTAAGACAACTGAAGAAACCTAGAAATGAAAATTGTTGGCAATGGAAACTTCCCAGGAAGAGGCACATGTAATACTTAAGATTTTATAAGCTCAGTACTACCTGTGGCACACCCACTTCCAATAGATCGTGAACTCCTTTCTCAACATTATGTCCTCAGTTCCTTTCCCTATATGGAACTAGTAATCCCTTCTTTGCAGGGTTATCAATGGTGACTAAGTTCTACTGCACATCAGAATGTATTAGAATGATGTCTGCCTTGCAGCTAATGCACATCAAGATAAAGTTATAAGGAGCATGGACAGCACAGTGGGACGATTCATTCATTCCCAATACTGCATTCATAGCTGGGCATGGTAGTGTGGACCTGTATTTCCAGCTATTCAAAGGGGTGTATAGAAGGAGACTTGAGCCCAGACATATAGGCCCATCTGGGCAGCTTATCAAGATCTTGTCTCAAAAGAAAAAAGATCTTTGAATCACATCTGTAAAATAAAAATAACAAAGAGAAATTACTCACTTATAAAATGGAGGGTTTTTTTTGTCTGAATCTGTCAAATGTTAATGGAATAGACATTGTTAATGTAATTCTTGACTGTATATATTGTATATACTTATATTAGTTATAAGTTTCTTTTATTATTTAGACAAATATTATTTAGACAAATAATAAACAACAAAACGAGTGGTAAGTTAGAATCCCAGACTATCTCCCTGTCGTCACCCTGGGATTGATGTGATGGAAGAGAACACACAGGCCAGCCTAACATCCTGTTCCCCTCACCTAAGTGTTCCTGTGCAAGCCACTCGATTCTTAAGTTTTTGTTTGTGCACCTTAGAAAAAAAGCAGTGAGTAATCATAGAAGCTCAATCATAGAAGCTCAAACATTATTTCAGGACTTAAACTTCATGGTGTGACTATTCATTTTATAATGTGGATATTATTCATTAATGCAGGAGTTCAGCAGGGAAGTCACTTAGGAGTTTCCCACAATCATATTTGTACATGTTGGTCACTTGATTTTTTTGACGTCATTCGACCATGTCAGTGAGCCCCATGTCTGTAACCCCCATATTTGACTTCAGGGTGAAATCTATGAGCACCAGACTAAAGATTTGCTCTGAGAACCTGTTCCCCATCTGTTGCTCTGGCTCTGACAGTCGGAGCTGCTGTCTGAAGCTGGGGGAAGAGCTCCATTTCTGTTAAACTAAGGTGACACAGACTGCCCTGCCTGTGACACACTACTTCCTGTTTACCTTTGCCTCCTTTGTCTCTCTTTTGAAATAATGACCTCATCATTTAACACCAGCACACCAACCCCCTTTTCCTCATGTCTTTCTTTCTTCACAGCATGCAGCATGCAGGGCACATAGTACATGTCCTATGAGTTATGCAAAGCACATGTGATCTCCTGTTTTTGCTTTCCTATTCTTTGACTTTGAACGTGTTCCTTCCACCCCATGTTCCTGTCTTCATAAACAATGATAAATCACTAATAGGTTTGAATACTTTGCTCTTAAATTATGCATCTAAGAGAGCCAAAGTTTTTGTCTGTTTATTCTGTTTTGGTGTTTTTACTGTTTGATAGTTGAAAGATGGTATGAATGATTACCGTAAGAGAGATGATGGTTGGATGGATAGGTAAATATTAGACAATTGATATAGATAGATAGATAGATGATGGAAAGATAATAGAAAAAGAGATAGATGATAGAAGATAGATAATAGAGATGTAGATGATAGATGGAGAGATAGATTGATTGATTGATTGATTGATTGATGATAAAGAGATGATAGATAGAAAGATAATAGAAAAAGAGATGATAGAAGATAGATAATAGAAATATAGATGATAGATGGAGAGATAATTAAAAAGGATAGTTGATAGAGATATAGATGATAGATGGAGAGATAGATGATAGAGATATAGATGATAGATGGAAAGAGATAGATAGATAGATAGAGCTGTATCCTATACTTATTGAGTTGTAATACTCTGAGAATCTGAGGCAGTTTCCCTCAGATAGATATTGCCAGCCAATAGAGATCATGCAGTCCACCTTTCAGAATCCATCCTTTATTCATTGCAGGTGATTTACAGTCTGCTTCCAGGACCCGCCAGCCCTTTCTGTACACTTAGTAAATGTATACTCTAACCCACTGATACAAAAGTGGGTATTAACACACACATACACCATAGTCCAGTGCCTTTAAAAGTTGACTAGGAAATCAGAGCAAGTGTTATATGGGGAAAACTTCCACTGGTTAAATATGCTAGGAGAAAAGTCAACCAGCAAAAAAAGTTTAACAGATTTCTGTGCAACACTTCCTCTCAATTTCTTTATTATACTGACTTACATTGTGACTCTAAAATCAGGGGCTATAGCTCCAAGACATGGACATAAAACCAGACATGCAAAGGCCAACAATAGAACTGTCGGTTCTACCTGCTGGGAGAGAGAGAAATCACTTTTCTCCAATGGAATGGCACTGTGTATATCAACTACTCTGGGGCAGATCTCATGCTCAGGAGTAGTTGACCAACAAATGACAGACTTACACAGTTTTTTTATATGTGTGGTAATTTGATTATAGTATGGTGTTTGTTTTATCATTGGGTGATGTACTTTGTTTTCTAGGTTTGGGGTGTTTTGTTGTTATATTGTATTTTGGGTTTGCTTTTTGAGAAAGAACTTAAAATTTAATCTGCATGAACTTGGGTAAGGAGAAGAATATGAATAAAATATATTTAAATTTAAAAATGGTTTTATATAATAAAAATTAATAAGAGTATTAAAAGGAAAAATTCAGACATGCAAGCTGCTTAAAGCAAAGTAAAACTAGAGCATGCATCATAGAAAAAAAATAAACTATAAAATGGGAAGCATCAACTGTTTGCTTAGTGTATTTTCTAAATATCAATTGTCTCAAGTATTGTTTTACTCTGACATATTCTGTTTTCCACTACTTTAGAGTGCAAGAGCAGAACTTGAAAGGCTGCGGCTGGGTGAAAAGCAAGATCGAGACTTCATGGATTCCAGCTTAAAAGACAGAGCCTCCATCATAGCCCACTGCTTGGAGCACAAAGATGATAAACTTCGAAATCGTGCCAGAAAACATCGCAGTTTCAACTGCTTGGAGGACACAGAGGCGGAGGTCCCACACAGCCTACCAAAGGGCTTTAAAGGTCCAAAGACGCTAAAGAAGATTGAAGACAGGAACAGCAAGACTACTTTAGACCCTGATCACAAGCTGCCATCAAAAGTCATCGAGGAACTTAGTGTGGTTCTCCAGAGGTCAAGAACTCTTCCTAAAGAGTTACAGGATGAACAGACGTTACAGAAAGAAATAAAATAAATCATCACACAAGTTATTTTTTTCAACATTGTATACAATGTGTGCAAACTAGAAATCAAACTGTAATTCTTGAGTTCCTCTATCTAGACAAATTTGTCTGTATTTAAGAAATTTGTTTATCTATACCTAAGCATTTAAGAACATTTTAAAATATGTATATATGTGGTTAAGTGTAAGATCAACTTTATTTTGGTCTGGAAACTTGTAAAGTTCAATTGTATTAACTGTAATAAATTTTTGGGTTACTGTAAGTGGCCAGGTCTTTGAAAATAGATGTGTAAGTGGGGGTAATTTATGAGCAGAAATCTGTACTGTATTGTATAAAATGCTGTGTGTACATGAAACCTATGAAATTGTATTATATTTTGCACTTTGAGAAGGCTTGTATATTAAGTTGCCATGTGTTTTTAGGTTTACATAAGGTCCATCTTAAGGAAAAGAAAGGGAAGTGAGTTCAAAAGGGGAAAGACATTGCAGTAGCTGTTCAACCAACATTGGGAAGAAAGCCAGGAAGTTACAAAATATTCTACTACCCATGGAGGTGACCCAGAATTCATTCTAATTCACCAAGAAACAAAGCGTGTTGTGGAGAAACTGCTTGTTATGAAAAAACTGTTGGTGTCTGGAGTGTTTCCAGTAGTTATATACAGCCAGCCCACGTCAGTGGTGACACTGGCCACTGTCATTTATGGTTCAGTAGACAAGCCCCAAGACATATTAGTACACCAGAACTGTCTGTCAGTGTTTGCTCAGAGGAACTTACATTGCACTGAAGAGTGTGTGCATGGACCCAGCATGGATGTCATTTGCACTGTTACTGTATGCAGGCAATTCTTTAGGGCTCCCAACTGTATTTCTGGTACGAACAAAATTCAACACCACATCTTTTGCTATTTTTTTCCTTTATTCTGTGTTTGTTGCTGTTGTTGTTTCCATTTTTAATGTAACATTATAATGCTTACTAATGTAACATTATAATGATTACTTCTGCATCATCAGTATCAACTGGAAGTATGCAATATGTGGCCACTTGAAGGAGCCAATGGCTGCTTGTACAACACATTTGCAAGCAGGCACGTCACATTCCATTTAATCTTTCTTTCTACCTGTAGAAATGACATATCTCTGTATTTTTGTTGCCACATAAGGATCACGTACAGATTTGACAGTTTTTCATTAGTCAGACTACACTAGCTTATAAATCGTTCGTGTCAAGGACAGTGCTTTTTATTAATTCTTTTCCAAGTTAAGTTGCGTTGATGTGTCTTACAACTGGAAGTTATATACCGGATCTTTATTCCCAATGCTCCTTTGTCCTGTCCTGTATTTGGGGTCTTTTCTATTTAAGACAAGTCTATGTGCTAAAACCCTTGTTTCAGTCACTCTTTCACAGGTAAGCAACATGCTGTGAAGTACGAGGGCTGTCTTCACTCAGATATGCTAACCAGTTACATTTGCTGAAGATAGCAGAGTTTATTAGGAGTAAGTGGCATTTAGTCTTTAAATCCAAGTAAAATGTTAACTGAAATAGTAAGTAAAACTGCAGGGCAGTTTTACGAGTTGGTGGCACTATTGAAGACGCTCCCTTCAAAGCAAGATATTGTGTTGTTTGGGAAGAAAAAAATTAATTTTAGTAAACTTATTTCTGATAAGTAATATTTATATTTTTTATGAAATAAAGAGATATATGGCCTTGTTGAGGAAGTGTCACGCTGTTGGACCTACCTTACTGGAATTTCTCCTGAAAGTTGAGATTAAATCTGATCACTTCTGTTGTTTTTCTTTTTTTCATGAATAATCGTCTCCATTTTTAAAATGTAACATAAGGGCTAATGGTTACATCCGATTTTGAGTAAAAATTAAAATAGTTTTACAAGTCCACTAGAACATGACTCTTCTCTTTTTTCATGACTCTCAGAAGTTTAAAGTTATTCTGGTGAAATGAATCAAGTGCTTTATTCTTTTTTGCTGTTTAAAAAAATCGAACAGGATGCATCTAACTGTCCTTTTTGTAAAAACACATCAAAATAAATCTTACTTTATGCCAAAGGCTGAATACAGGCAGGTGTTTCCTGAAAGGACTGACGGCACTCAGTTTCATCTGTTCCCATAAACTCAGTTATTAGCCACCATCTATAACATTACCTGGTGGTTCATCAAAATGGTTCTAAGAACCACAAGCAGGAGCAGTGGAGGCAAGGCTCTGACTTGTGTACAGATCGGCTGCTGATTGGCACTGCTCCAAAGACAAATTTTAATTCTAAAGTACTCAGAAAATGCATATTGCAGAAGGAGATGCTTTGGAAAATGGGGGTTGCTCTTTAACATCTGATTATCATGTACGGAGATGACTCACACTCTTAGCAGCTTATCTGAATTTCCTTCAGGATACAACACTCAACAGAAGTGAGACTTAGGCTTAAAATGTGAACATTTTGCCATCACGTGCATCTGTATTTATCTCTAATTGGAAACCACACACTAATGAATCCTACAGATTACTAAAGTGTGTCTTTTTTAAGCATACGGTTATTTTAGTTTAGTAAACTTTAAAGTGATCATAACTACATTGCCTTCATATTCTCTACCATGACTGCATATATAGAATGTCAACTTTTAATAGCTCTTGGTGTCTCCAAGTTAAAAACTTTAAAATTATTTGATTAAAATATCTTTAAGTCACAGTAATGACTACTCTGTGCATAGTCATTTTGTGATTGCTATTCTATACATATAAAATTTATCCATGCACATACATGCATTATGAGTCAAGTATATGAGGCAAATAGGTAAATAATATTAATAGAATGTGGATAAATCACTATTAGTTATTAATGTGTTTGTGTAGTTCTCATTTTAACTAAATAGATATTGCTGGCTTTCAAAGTGCTTCTAGCTGTTTTCCTTTTATGCTAAATTACGTACTAATGAAATCAATTTCCACATTGTATAGGTTGAATTGTCCTAACAGCTCACACTTAGCCTTAACTTTCAAAATTTCAAAAAGTGACTTACTTTGAGATATATCCTTTTAAGGGTTGTTTGCGTTAATAGGAGACCATGAGAATGAGCTCTGTTCTGTTCTGAGAAGTGCCCTAGGAGGACACTAGGACATGCAAAAAAAAAAAAAATAGTGTGGATTCATAGCCAACAGAGAACCACTGCGTCTCCCTCCCATCCATGCCCCCACTGACAACTCCAGTATATCTCAAACTCCCTGTTTCTTGTTCTTTCTACACCACCTCTTCTTATTGCTTACCAGGTCAAGAACTTAGGGGAGAAAGATGAAGCGAGTCATTTAGCTCATGAGTGGCATACTATCTGTATCCTTTCAGGCTAGCCAAGAATGCTATTAAACCTTCTAAAGTTGCAATTAGCAGGGAAAAAAAAATGAGTGTAAAACTTGTAAGACACTGTCGTAAAGCAAGGATGCATATATTATCTACACAACACCTGCTTAAAAATAAAAATGGAATATATATATATATATATATATATCATGTGTATATGTACATATTATATATACATATTACATGTTATGTTATTAACATATGCTATATATTTATATAAAATAAACATTAAAATAGATGAAATTGTAACCAACAGTAGGGTGGTAAATAAAAGGCCCAATATATCACTAACCCCTTCAATACAAAATAAATACTCAATTCACCACCAATTTTTTCTGCACTTTAGACATGCTTTTAGTTTAAAAATTGGAGTTGAAGAACTTGAAGTGAATATACACATGCTATAGAGACACTAATTTACAACAAAGCTGGTATCACCAAACTCCCATAATACAACACTCTTTACAGTCAGAAGTTGTGTTTCAGACAAACACATTTTTTTTTTATCTATCAGAGAGGTCAGTCCTCCAGGGAGGTATAAATGAATAAGCTCTTTTATCTCCAATATAAATAATTATAAGCTTCATGATGCCAAACCCAAATATGCAATCATAGGGGAAAATGTCACCACCCTGGACAGGTGGAGGTGCTGAAAAGCATAAACCAAATTTATAAATATGCCACAGCAAACTATGGACCACCCCACATTTTCTACTAATGACTATCCTGATGAAATGGTTTTTATATTCATACACATAATCCTACAGGACAATGGACATAACCAGTATTCTTGAATAAGTTTGAATCAATCCTGTTTCTTAAAGGTATTTTATTCCCCAGCTACTCTTGCCATATAAAAACAGTGAGCCACCTTTAAAGAAATATTTCTTCTCTAATCAATGAACTTAGGCTCTGGTCTCAAGGAATATTATGCTAAATTAAAAACTTTTCTCTTTCTGTGAAATAAAAGTGTGAAATTACAATATGGTTTTGCAGAATGTATTTGTATAGGTTATACATAACCATGAAAGTTGTATATATTTAAAAGCAAAGTATACACACCTGTGATTATATTTTATTTGTGCTCTAACAAATAAAATTTACCTGGGGATCAGAGGACAGAGCCAGTCAGTACATTAGACGTAGAGGCCAGACAGTGGTGGCACACGCCTTTAATCCTATCACTCTGGAGGCAGAGATCTGTCTAGATCTCTGTCAGTTCAAGGCCACAGTGGGAACAGAGCCAGGGATGGTGGCATACAACTTTAATCCCAGCACTTGAGATCTCATGTCTTTGCTTGGGAAGGGAATATGCCTTTAACCCCAGGAAGTAATAGCAGGAAGCAGAAAGGTATAAAAAGCATGAGGACCAGGAACTAGAAGCTTTTAAGCAGTTCAGCTGAGATCCCTTATTTTTTTCTTTCTCATTTTCATACAGGAATGTTTTGAATTCTTATTGCTCTCACAATCTCCTATAAGTTTTAAATATAAAACTGATTTAGTTGTGAATTGAGAAGCTATACTATAACAAAGAATCTATACTACATAACAAAGAGGCAACTCTGTTTTCATGCTGTACTAGACCTTAGAGGATCATTGGGTCCATTCTAATGAGAGGAGCCCACCAATTAGTAAAAAAACACAAGCAGGGCACTAAATAATTTTAGAAAAACTTGCAAAACAATGTTCCCCCAAGATATCCCTGCATATAATACCTTGATGAGTGAGTCAAGAACTGGCTGTTTATACTCAAAAGCATAAACACTCTAGTTATTAAGAAATATAAAATTTGCATGTAAATGGATAAAGCTAGAAAAATTCATCCTGAGTGAGGTAAACCAGACCTCCAAAAGACAAATGTAGTATGCATTTACTTATATGTGAATGTTAGCTGTTAAGTCTTTAATAAGAAGACTGCATATAACCATGGAGGCTAGATGTAAAGTAAGGGACTAGTGTGGAGGAAAGGACCTCCTAGGAATGGAATTAGAATAGATTTTTATAGATGCATGGAGTGAGTGAGGAACGGAAATGGGAGGATGAAATGAGGACATAGAAGGATGAGGGGATAAGGGAGTGAATAGAGGGAGGGACAGCTTAATTTAAGGGCATTTGAGGGGTCATGTATAAACCTCTTACAGAAGAGTCTTTAAATATATACACATATGATAGAAATCTAAATAGAATCACCCAATAATGGAGCAAACATAGTTACAACTCGACATCTCTCAACACCAAATGAAACCTTCACTGCTGGGAATGGGTTGCATCTATTTGAGTTGCTGAACAGAGGAAACCCCCAAATAAGCCAGGCTATTAGTTGCTCTTGACAAGCTAATGGAGACAGCTCCCAACATCTTCAGGTATCTCCTTATATCTGAAGACAACATCTACATAATTCATTAAAAACAGAGAAAATGAGCTGGTGCCTACATAGAGCTGTCACCCCCTACAGAATAGTGTTCATGGTACTATAAGATTCTCTGCTTACTACCAGAGGAGAAAGATAACACTAATCCAGCAAAAATCTTTGATCAGTGATGTGACCTGCCTATAAGATACACCAGTGCAATAAGTGGCACAAAAGTTGTGGGAATAACCAACCACTATCTGATTGGATTTAAGGTCCTGTCTTAGGATTTCTATTGTTGTGAAGTGACACCATGACACAGCAACTCTTATAAAGGGAAACATTGATTTGGGGGGGCTTACAGTTTCAAGATTTCGTCCCTTATTATCATGGTGGGACATGGTGGCATGCAGACAGACATAGTGCTGGAGAAGGAACTAAGCATTCTACATCTTGATCTGTAGGCAACAGGAAGTGAATGTGTCACTGGGCATAGCCTGATCATAGGAGACCTCAAAGCCCAACTCCACAGTGACACACTTCCTCTAACAAGGCCATATCTACTCCAACAAAGCCACAACTCTTAATAGTGCCACTCCCTATGGGGGCCATTTTCTTTCAAACCAACACACACAGGCTTATAGCCATATCATAATGAAAAAAATGCATTCAGTACAACTTCAAAAGTCCCCATAATCTATTACAGTCTCAAACTTATTTGAAAGTCTAAAAAGTTCAAAGTTTCTTCTAGGAATCATGTGATATGTTAACTGTAATCTCCTGTAAAATCAAAAAGTAGATCACACACTTCCAATATATAATGGCACAGGATATACATTACCATTCTAAAACAAAGGGAAGAGAGCATAGTGGGGAAATACTGGACCAAAGCAAGACTGAAAACTAGCTGGACAAACTCCAATCTCTATCTCTACGTCTGATGTCAAAGTGCATTTCAGATCTCCAACTCCATGGATGCAACATACTTCTTAGTCTTGGGCTGGTTCCACTCGCTGTTAGCAGCTCTCTGTTGGCAAGTATCTCATGACTCTGACATCTCCAACATCCTGGGATTTCCAAGGCAATCAAGGCTTCATCTTCACAGCTTCACAGAGTGACCTTTCCAAGTCTCCATTCAGAAACACCTTTGACACATGCCTGACATCAATGACTTTCCTTAG